CCCCAGTCATGATCTTGTAGTTCAGTGATCGTCATTGCTGCCTGCCAAAATTCAACACCACCTTTCTTAGTTTATGAAAATCACGGCATATACGATTAATAGAAATGTAAGGGAAGATAGTCTTATTCAAAGTGAAGGTTGGCGCCTGTTAAACCCGCTGCATTTTTTTGCACCTGTCCTAAGTCAGGAGCCTGTTGTTCAGTGGTTGTCGTTTGTTGGTGTGGTTCATAAGTGTTTCTCGTTTTTTATATAGATTAGACCGTTGGTTTTCCTGTTTGAATTAATTTACACTAGTCTTTTTGGGGCCCTTTATAGCTTGTTGTTCGGTGTGAGCCAAGGCTCCATGTTGAAGACCGTACATTGGCCTATAATTGTTTACTTTTTACACATTGTGACTTGGATTGATAGTTGTCTCATTGGCACTCGTACCACATCTTTTTATTTAAATAAGTTCCATTCAGTCGTAAAAAAAGACGGAAATTTAGTTGACATATTGATAAAATAATATGTGGAAAGGACCCAGAGGGAACGGATAAGTAACGATTAAAAAATAAGTAAGGAATATGTAACGAATAAGGAATAAGTAACGAATAGGTAACGAATAAGTAATAAGGAATAAGTACCGAAAAAGGAATAAGTAACGAATATGTAACGAATAAGTAACTTAAGGAATAAGTAACGAATAGGTAACGAATAAGGAATAAGTAACGAATAGGTAACGGTTAAGGAATAAGTAACGAATAGGTAACGAATAAGTAATAAGGAATAAGTAACGAATAGGTAACGAATAAGGAATAAGGAATAAGTAACGAATAGGTAACGAATAAGCATTAAGGAATAAGTAACGAATAAGGAACAAGTTACCAACTTGACGACCCTATAACCCCCAACCGCCATCATACATGGCAACTATTTCTTTAAAAAATAGAAAAATAAACCAAAATAATCTTAAAAATCATATGTTATCTGAACTGCAACTTTATTTCAAGGAAAGGAAAAAAAGTATTTAGTATGTCCAAGAACTCCATGAAACTTGGCTGCTTGTGATAATCAAGGCATCCAGTCATTGTAGGCAAGTGCTTCTATTTCCTTGAAGCTTGAAAACCGAAATTTGTGGAACCAGAAAAGCTACACGTAAGACATCGCAGTTTTACAACATAGGTCTACGGTATCATGTGTCCCTTCTTGCAGACATGGATACTGGTAGAAAAAACTATGTTCTAATGAAAATTACCACATTTAACAAAAAAAGGATAAGGAGGTATGATAAATGCCATTATTTGGCTCAGAAACTTGCAAAAAGTCAACTCTTCAGTCATTGTAAAATCATGTTATTTATATACTGATAAATGAGAACGATGTAGTCGGGTAACTACAGAGTATAAATATTATATTATCATATGTGATTTCGCTGGAACTTCAAAAAATGACAAACTTCACATATTTGATCGAATACGACCATTTTACACATGGTTTTTGGTAAAAATAGATATAAGAAAAAACCTACTCACATCAGCATCTTTATGATAAGACACCATGTCGCAAAATATCTTTTTAGGAAAATGATGTTGCCCATATTTTGATATCAATGGCACAATCTCAAAACGAGACCATTTTGGCAGATTTTTAAAAGTTTTTCCTTACATTCGAGAAGTTTAAAGGGCTAATATAAATATCGTTGACAAAATTCAAAACAATGAAAACCGATACCTTACACCTTACACTAATGTATTATGAATTTACAATACTTTAAGATTTTTTAATTCAAAGGGTAAAAGAAGTTTCATTACCATGAATTCTTCTTTAGCTCAATATTCCAATTTGTGTTTACAGTCGTTTTATTATTTATTTTTCTCTACGAAACTATAAAAGCAATTTCAAATAGAGTCACAAATCAGGACAGTTAGAAAAAAATTAAAAGAGATTATTAATTTTCCATTTTTTGACACTAAATTTAAGAAACTAGAGCGGGATAGTAAACATACGCCATATTTTTGCTGTTCTTTTTTTTAATTTGAGAGAAGGGCAAACATCGTTAAATATTTTCTATGTTTAAATGAAACTAAATTGTTAGTATTTGATAACACATTAAAGTTATACTTAAACATACCTTGAAGTTTGTTTTATTCAATTATCTCTAATTCCATATACTATATGTATTTATTTCTTTTCATTTTCAGGAGTTTTCAATGTGAAATCAAGCGCTCCCGTCATTTCAGTGTATACGACTGATTATTGATGATATGCAGGATTGTATATATTAACAATAACAATGGATTTTATGGAAAATCTATTGATTAAAAGCATTCTTTCGCTTTATATTGACACACTCAAAAGAATAAAACATGATACTTTTCACTTTTATTAAACGTAACTCTGGGTCTTTCATATGGTTTCTTGATGTATGATGAAATATGGTCCTGACTTTGTGTCATTTGTATCTTCAATATGGGCTATTTGGTGTGAAAGAAACTGCTTTGGTAATCTAAGTTAACCCTGTGACATATATATGTGCATTCCAAAAGTCAGGAACCTCCCAAGTGGTTGTTATACGTCATATCTAAATGTTCTTTTTTTGTTATTCGGATAAATTTGGTATTGATGGCCAATTGTTTTGTAGTCCCGTTTAATTTATAGACTATGGACGACTAAAGAGGTTGACATATTGAATAGAAAAATTTCTATCGTTGAAGACTGTATGTTGTTTTCTGTGTGTTGTTTGAGTATTTTGTTCGTTGGGATGCTGTAGCATTGTCACACTATTACAAGAAATCTAAGCAAAAATGTTTGGAAAAAGTAACAGATAAACTAGAGGCCCAAGTAATGAAAACTTTATATTGAGCATTGTTTGATAATTTCCGAATAAAATTGAACCAATCCGTTAATAACCTTTTGAAATTTAAATCAGATAGGACCATTTATGGATTTCTACTCAACGATTTTATAAATATTCTCCGAGCATCTCTATAAGAAAAAAGTCTCGATCTAAACTTGATTAAACCCATTACATCAAAATCAACACTACATACCATTATTTTCTTTTGTAGTGGATTTTGCATCCAGTGCATATGTAAATGCTCTTTTGTTCCGACGTTGGAAAGTTCCGGACGGAAAGAAAACTAACTAGCCGAAAAGTTCCGGAGGAACTTATTAACTAGTTACTTTGTTCTTCCTCTGGTTTAAAAGTTCCACCGGAACAAAGTGACTAGTTGAAAAGTTCCAACGGAACATATCAACCATTTAGAAAGTTCCTTTTTGCCAAATTAGTCAAAACCGGAACTAACAAACTAGCCCAAAAGTTCCGGGCAACGGAACTTATCAACCAGGCAGAAAGTTCCATTTGGAGAATTGATGCAAAGTAAAAGCGCAACATATTATATTTGAACCTTTCAAAGGGAAACCAAGATACTGATTACAATAGTCAGAAGGAACTTATCAACTAGCCACAAAGTTCCTCTTTGGCAAATAAGTCAAAACCGGAACTAACAAACTAGCGCAAAAGTTCAAACAGAACTTATCAACCAGTCACAAAGTTCCATTTGGAGAATTGATGCAAAGAACCACATGAAGAGGTATTCTTCCCTCTTGAGGATACTATGAATACTAAATTTGCATGATAATGCAACTTATTCCGTTTAATGTGAGCTATGAAATACAACTTATATTTTGCATATTTGTCCCCAAAGAAACCCCTTTCAGTGCGTTGGGTATTCTTGTAAATTAATGATTTGCTCTTATATATACTGATACTCATTCTTCAAAAGGGACGAAATATGGTATATTCGGAACGATGTAACTAGTTGTTCTGTTCCGCCAGAACTATTCAACTAGCTACATTGTTTCATGACTTTTCAACTAGCTCCTTTTTTTCCGGAACTTTTCGACTGCACTTGGAATAAAACAACTAGTTGGAAAGATCCATCGGAACGAAATAACTAGTTGAAAAGTTCCGCCGGAACAAAGTTACTGACGGAACATAGTGGCTGTCACACATATATCTGACCATCAACGGATTGACCTGGTCATAGATTAAATAGTTTGAAATCTGGTATCAATGTCATTACATGCATTGTTTCCCTTTGCAGCTTTTCTTAGGAAATTTGAATTTTAATAAGACGTTAACCATTTATGGCACACGTTGGTTGTGGATAGTGACATAAATTCTTGGCAGGTTAACGTGTATATGAATGGAACAGATGCGGATTTAGAGGGTTTTTCAGGGGGCCCGGGCCCCCCTTTTCAGTGGGAAAAAAATGCCGGGTTGATAATATAGGGAATCACTGAAGCACGACTGGAGCGGGCCCCCTCTTAGGCAGTCAGTGGGCCCCCACTTATGAAAATTTCTGTATCCGCCACTGTGGAACAACCCAAAAGGAACACACCTGATCAACACTTTATTCTAATTCATAGTTTGCAACATTATCGTCTGTCGTCACGTTTTTGCCATGGCATTGGCAGTTTCTCTTCCACTAATAAGTTTTAAATGTCGCCTTGGTATATTCTGACTATACTGATAACTTATTCTAATGGGTTGTAGTAGAGACATATAATACAATTTTATATTATATGTCTCTGGTTGTAGCAAGGATTTGCTAGGATTTGTATGACCATGAAATCCTTGGTTGTAGGTAACATAGTGCTGTCCATCAAAATACTATGACAGATTCTTTTACACTCAATCATACATAGACTGGGGTGTCAATATATCCTTATTTGAATTTTAGACACGTTAAACCTTTCAGGAGCGGTTCCAGCCATTTTTAAAAGGGGTTCCAACCCAGGATAAAAGGGGGGGGGTTCCGGGTGGGGGTTCCAACCGTATGTCCCCATTCAAAAGCACTGATCGTCAAACAAAGGGGGTTCTAACCCCCGAAATACTCCCCCCCCCCCCTGGATCCACAACTGACCTTTTCAGAGACATAATTATATGTCTCTAAAATATGGTATTGCTTTGTGTAAAGGGAGATAATTTTAACTCTCTAAAATAAAGTTCCGTTTGGTGGGAAAGTTTCTTCTGTCATCTGTCTGAAGAAGGTGAACTGTTGACGGACGTACGCAGTTAAAGCATATATATGTCTCTTGAACAGGTTTGAACAGAATAAACAATCGAAAATGCAGAATGCTATGGAACCAATCATCATTTTATTTTAAGTGGACATGCACTTTGATAAAAGAATCCTTTTTTTGTTCTGTATCCCGTCGTGATACTTCGGTCATTTAAGGTTAAGGAACAATGAATGGGCTATGTGTCTATGTCACAGATTTTTTCTTGAAAAACCATATGTTGTTGATATAGAAAGTTCCTTTTTAATGATGTAAAATAATGATAGGGTCACCGACTTCGTTATTACGATATACATCATTCAAACAATCAAAGTGGTGTTGTATAAATGTGAAAAAATACCACAAAACGTCGAAATAATTGTTACGTCAATGCGTTGCAGGCTGTAAAACGTTAATTTTTGACGTTTTTCACTACCAACTAGGTAACCTGATTGATTATTAGACAAAAAACGAAGTCGGTGACCATATTTTATATCATTAAAAGGGAAATTTCTGTATCAACAACATATAGTTTTTAAAGAAAAATCTATGTAGTAGAAATTAGAGATTTGATTATTTTTTAATATGACAAATTTTAGAAGTTTTTTTGCAGATTTAATGTGCTTTCTATACGAATGTTCACCTTTTTTGAAAGAATTCAATCAGTAATATATCAGATGATAAAAGAGATAAATGCATTATTTTTTGGATTCTCAGTTATAGTTAAACGAGCCAAGGTTGTATGCAAAATTTTAGCAAAATCTATGACATAGCCCATGTACTGTTACATGACCTTAAGGACTTTTTGAATTTCATTTATCTGTAGACTCAGCTTTGTTTTTTTACTACTGAGTACTGTGTATTGTCAAGGTTGGTGTCTCATAATTGTTTCCTAATCACTAAATGTACGATGTTATAGTGTACTTATGGATTTTAAATAAATTTACGAACTATCTTTCTATGGTGTTATATACTATATCTCTGATATTTACTGGTTGCGTACCGGTTACCATAAGACAATTACAGGTTTTCGGCCTCACTAATTAGCGACAAGAAGAATTTTAGCGACAAGAAGCGTCAAGAAGCGACAAGAAGAATAAATTTAGCGACAAGAAGACTATTTAGCGACAAGAAAACTTAATAAAAGTATTATTAAAATAAATATATTAAAAAAACATGCATTGACATTTTTATTTTAATATACCGAAAGTAAAGTGATTTTCATTTTTTTTTTTAAATATATTAATAGATATTGATAAATATAGAAATTTCCCTGTCATAGTATGATATTAATTTTTACATGTTCTTGTGTTTTAGAACAATAATATATTAATTTTATAAATTTTTTAACACTCTCTTTGTCTAAACTATAATAAACTGACTGCATGCAAAATGCATTATACGTGAATCAGTGTCCAGAAAAGATAATGTTACTAAACGTGAATATTTTATTTGGGTATTGACTTATCAAACGATATGTATGATGTTTATGCATAGTTTAAAGTTGATTGAAGATTAAAGGTAATTAAAGACGATGTTGAGTGTTCAACAGTTGCTCACTATTTTCAATTATTGTATATTCTGGTGCTGCGTGCAGCAGTATAGTCTGACGCGTGTACAAAGTTATAGGTGTTAATTGAATGTTATTGTAGCAATACAATAAGGGACACACGACCTTTACACCAACCATGATTCTAATTTGTTCATCCTTAAGCGTCATTATGCTTCTATAAAAAGAAATAATTCTTACAAGAAAATAATCAACTGGTTCGAAAAAAATGCCTGGCCATTCTCTTGAAACCATGAATAAAGCAATAGCAGAATACATAGGTACCTATCCTATTAAACAAACAAAATATTGCTGATGATATATGCAAGCTGTCATCAATATTAATTCTTTGAAAGAAATTGTTCAGATCACTGGCAAACCTCCAAATGTTATCTTGACTCATTAATTTCTTCATCTATCAATATGATAAAAAAAAAAATGAAAATCTCTTTATTGCTGTCAATGCATATTTTTTTTAATATGTTTATTCTAATAATATTTTTTTTAAGTTTTCTTGTCGTTTCTAGTCGCTAAATTTATTCTTCTTGTCGCTTCTTGACACTTCTTGTCGCTTCTTGTCGTTTCTTGACGCTTCTTGTCGCTAATTAGTGAGACCCAAGGTTTTCTTTAATGTTAATTACCCGAAACTTCGTTTTTGAAATCAGAACTATAGACAGCAGCAGATCTAGAGGTTATAGCGGGAGGTGGGTTTGGGGGTGTTTCTCTGATTTCATGAAACTTTATCTGGATACATCTTTATTACCAAAGTCTATATAAACTATAGGTGCACATTTGAATTGCATCCACATCAATAATACATATATAAACACAAAACATGTGACAGAATAGCAGAAGGTGTTGCTATTATAAATAAACACTATTTTAAACATATCGGTTCTTAAACTAAATTTACCTAAATTACACAGTTCTTTTACATTGTTTGTACTCAATAGTTTAATAAGTTTGTACATTGGTGGTGTTTTCCAATAATATGGCTTTATATAAAATTTTCGAAAACCTTGAAAAAATGGACATTTGAGGATGAAATGATACTCATCCTCTATATCATTTTTACAAAAAGTACATATTCTATTATTTCTTGTTATACCATAAAATCTTCCATTTTCTATAGCTAAGTTGTGGCTACTTAATCTTATTTTCGGAATAAATGTATTGTAACATTAGGAATTGGTTTGCAGAATTAAATTGCAGACAAAAATTATCTAACATATATTTATAATTAGAACATTTTGGAGAAGTATGCAACTGAGCATCAAGTTCTTGTTTAAGACAATCATATAAACGTTGCTAAAGACAGCAAAATATACATCAGGCAAGTCTGAAATAAGGTTTTGGCTATACCATACATCACCTAAACCAATAACAACAGTTCATTCTTAATAATAAAATATAACCAATCACACTTAATATTTGGACATCTCTCTAATTCACCATATAAGTAATTATAACAGTTTTTCAATATACAGTTTGAAGTATTGAGCAATTTAAACCAATATTTGAAAATCTTGCATTTTCTTGTAAAAATAAGAGGCAATCTACCTAGTTCATGATATATCAAAACATTGTTAGTAGATAATTTAACACCAAGTATATTCTTACAATAGTTCAAGTGTACTCTCTCTATGGCGGGGCTTTGTGTGCACCCCATATTTCACTTGCATAACTCAATAAAGAATTGATATAAGTATCAAAAAGAGATAACAAAGTGACATAGTTTAAATACATACTTTTGATATTTCTTCTAAAAGCAAACATTGCTTTTCTACCTTGTTCTGAAAGTTTCTGTTGTAACATATTATATTTGCCATTAAAATTCAAAAATACACCAAGGTAGGTAAAATTATCAACAACTTCAATTTCTTCATTATCACAATACCATATCTCATCAACATGAACTATACCACCTTTTCTAAATACTACCATTTTAGTTTAATTAATATTAACACTCAATGACCATTTTGAAGTATATTCATATAATGTATCAAGCATATTTTAGAACCCTAAAACAAATTCTGAGAAAATAACCATATCATCAGCATACATAAGTAGGAATAAATTCAATTCTTTCATCTCATATGGAATGACATTATAATTAATGAAAGCCATTTCACAATCGTTAACATGTAATGAAAAAAGTATGTGAGATAACACCTCTCCCTGCATCAAGCCTAATTCATTGGTGAAGTAATCAGAACAAGTAAAACTGTGAGCTACTGCTCACCGATTTTACCCCGCCAAAATATTTCGGTAAACAGGAAGTTGTTGAGTGATGAATCTGAAACAAAATTTCAGAAATCCTTGTCAAGTAGTTCCTGAGAAAAATGTGAGGAAAATTTTCAACTTGGCTATCATGTGTAAAATAATACAAGTGTTCGGTAAACAGGAAGTTGTTGAGTGATGAATCTGAAAACGCATCACACGGTGTAACTTACTTATATAAACCCTGAAACCAAATTTCAGAAATCCTTGTCAAGTAGTTGCTGAGAAAAATGTGACGAAAATTTTCAACTTGGCTATCATGTGTAAAATAATACAAGTGTTCGGTAAACAGGAAGTTGTTGAGTGATGAATCTGATAATGCATCACACGGTGTAACTTACTTAAATAAACCCTGAAACCAAATTTCAGAAATCCTTGTCAAGTAGTTCCTGAGAAAAATGCGACGAAAATATTCATGGGACGGACGGATGGACTGACGGACTGACGGAAGAACAGACAGAGGTAAAACGGTATACCCCCCTTTTTTAAAGCGGAGGTATAATTAAAACCATCAACACATACACATTGGTAAACATAGATTTAATAACAGAAGTTTACCTTAGATACCAATTTTTGACAATTTATACCATAGCATATGCCTTTGAACAGTATCGAATGCTTTTGTGTAGTCAACAAAACAACAATAAAGACATATGTTTGCTGATAGGGACTTAAAAATTACAGATATGCCTTTGTTCTTACCAATTTTTTCCTGATATCATCTTCATTTTTTGTTTATTTGTCTAATTTAATTGGTTATTCATTATTAAAGTAACTAGTCAGGTGCAGATCCAGGATTTAAAAAAAAAAGGTGGGGTCAGGGCTGACTAGCCAATGAGGTGATCTTGTAAAAAGTTAAAGCATTTATCATATATAAAGCTCCATAAGGGGGACCACGTTCCCCTACCCCCTCTATCCCCACCCCATTAATCTGCCTCTGCTAGCTATAGTATATTCTTAGGTCAAAATTGTGTCCCCATTTGAAATTCCTCTTTACATTTCATATAAAAGCTAATTTTTCTAAAAACATGGTCAAAACTTATTTCAGGTCTGATTTTGATAAAAATTTACTCAAATTCCTGTTAAAGTCATAACTTTATATAAAGTTTTTTATGTTCATTATGAAATGTTTTTATGACATGTCATTACTGAGAAATCATTATTCAAAAACAAACATATATAGCCATAAGATTCTTTCGAGCTTAAAGTAAAATTTGTTTTTTAACACTGATTATATTCATAAATGTATTTCATAATTATTGCATTTTCAGTGTCTTGACCATTAATGATATTTTCATATAAAAAGATGAACTGATAAACTTGGAAATTTTGAGAGAAAGTCAAATCTTGAAATCTTTTTTGTATTAGTTTTTCAGTGTTCTACACCATTATCCAATATGTATAAATGTAGTAATATACATTTTTTACCTTAAAGGATACAAGGAAAAATGGAAAATATCATGTCAGCGTTTTTCCCTTTAATTTCATTTGTTTTGCCAATCAGAGTAGCTTTTTGTATTAATTATTAATAATGTTGTAAAATTTTATTTTAATGGCAGATATTGATTTATACTAACTTCTAATGAAACATCAAACATTGAAATGCCTTAATTGTGTTAAAAGAGGTGTGTCATGTGATGAAATTAAAATTATTTTAACGATATTTGTGTACTTAAAATATATCATACATGTATATAAACAGGTTGTAGGTTAAAAAGGAAGTAAATAAAGATGATGGGTGCCACCTAGTTTCACATCCAAGATAGTAGAACTTTATAAGTAAATTTCTCAAGTTCAAGACTGAAGAGGAGCCTATCCCTTTGACTTCTACACATAAAAAGATAGCATTAAATTCATTACTTTTCTTTCATTTTAGAATTCTTGTCAACAATTTGAGCAGTCTAAGCAGGATACAGTTTGTAGCTACAACAACACCACATATGAACCTGAGTGGTATGTTAAGATAAATCTATGTGGATGATAACTCATATTATTTGCGGCATCAAACACAAATATAAGTTATTCAGATCTGACTATAACACATGTTATAGTAGTCTCAGTTCAGGTGGATGTGTCTTATAGATTTAAGTTTGTAGCAATCCAATATTTTGGATAAAGGAAATAGTTATCACATTATTTTTACCACTGTGTATTATAGGAAACATAATTATATACTTACTTATGTGAGCCAACAGATTATTGTTTGAAATATGTAAATTGTTTGATCAAGTTGATTGAAAGAGGACTTTTTAATTTGTAGCAATCTTCTTTTCATTGTGTCAACAAAAATCACTCAAGCAAATCTGTCTGCCAAAAAAATGGGCAGATAATAACAAATTTCAATAATGGGCCAATGAAAATAGAAACGAGTTATATTCAAAAGTTGAAGATAAGTTTCTAAACCTTGGAATTTTACAAAAATAGCTCAGTCAAAGTGAAATAAATGTAGCATTTTATTTTATCCTTTCAGATTGAAAATAATTCATAGCAAATTTGGTTTTCCAGAAATTTATGATATTATGGAATATTTTATCAAGAACTGGATAAAATATAATTGTATTCCATACAAATTTTCCAAAGTAAATTTAAGACAGGAAAGCATCTTCCAAAGTAAATTAAAGACAGGAAAGCATCTATCTGTTCTGTAATAAAACATTTTTATATCATTTTGGCAACAGTATAAAAAAAGCAATGCTATTGAATAATCTGAAGGGACAGAAATGTTCAGAATGTTCAGCTCATTCTACTGTCTATTTACTTCAAAACTGTCAGACGACTTCTTGTAACAGTTTTTGCCCATAAATGACGATGATTTTTTCATTTTTGCCTATTTTCTGGAATACTGTAGTAGAAACAAACTTCAAAAAGCAAAAATTATCAGCTTGGAAATATTATTCACTAAGAAGATTTTCTGGTGAGTGAAAATATAGAACAAAATAAAACAATTTCAATAATCTGGTTGGAGAAGTAAGGACATTCAGTGGGTGTAAATGAAACAATCAAACATATCAAAAGAACAGTGTTCTTTCCTGGTCTTCTGGTACCCTATTTTAATGCTTTCTTTGCTTCATAGTTGCTTTATTTTTCAGTGAAGTATCATTTGGAGAGGATTTTACTACTGAAGATTCTATTTCTCCAAAGAAAAGAAAGATTGATGTAATAATAACTTAATCCTTTTTGATGATGTATTATGGTATACTATTGGTCTGTCTGGGCATGTCATTTATTAAATAAAGTTTGCATTAACATACTGTTTGTCCTACCAAGACAGGTTCTTTTAAGATTGTGCAGTTTTTTTTCATTTATTGGTCTAGAGTTATTTGACATGAACACATTAAATCTAATAATTAAGGGCACCTGCAAAGATAACTTAGTTTTCCTGAACAGGATCTTTTACAAAATGTTTTCATTAAAGACCAGCTCCTTTCAGATTTTGACTTGAGTTATGGGTCTTTATTTCTTTTACAAAATGTTTGATTTCATAAAGGCAAGGTCCATTTTAAAACAAAAATCCTTCAAATTTTCAATTCATAAATATATAAGTTTTTCTTATGAAGTGTGGATTTAGTCAAAATTGTTGTATTTAAGTATTTCCTGAAGTATTTCAGGATCTCAATAATTCCATTTTAGGATATCCTGAAATATTTCAGGACCTCCATAGTTCTAGATATCATGACCTCCATAATTGGATTTATGGATACCCTAAATTATTTATAGAGGTCCACAATTATTATATCCTTAAATCTATTTCAGGATATCCTGAAATCAAATTATTTATAGATTTTGAAATAAATAATTTGATTTAAGATATCCTGAAAATGATTTCTGGATATCTTAAAATCGAATAATGGAGATCTTGAATTATTTCAGGAGTCATCAATGCTTTATGGATACCCTGAATTCGAATTTTGGAGGTCCTAAAATAATTCTGAAGCTCCTTAAATACAATGATTTTGACTAAATCTGCACCTCATATTTTCCATTGGTTCATACCATATTTATAATCAAACTATATCCTTGATGTTTTCCATTTTTAATTTAAAATACAAAAATGTAATACATTTTTTTTTAATCTACATTTTATTAAAACAAGCTAATACTTTATTTGAATAATAAACATGAAAATATTTAATGTGTTAAGTAGAAATATTATCTGCCAAGTGGAGTATGAGAATGTTTGTGTATTGAGGCGTCCATATTTTTTTTCTTGCTACATACAACATACATAGGTAAATATTCCATGCATATTCAATACAATATCTATTTATTTCAAAACAATGCTGTGTACCAGACCAATACGCTGGAGCATATCTTTTGCTAAATCACAATGTAAAAGTCTGCAAGAAGACATTTCACTGAACCCAGACATATTTTGCTTATTCAAGCTAACCAATCTTCCCTCTTACTCCTAAATATGACTTCCTTAAAAACCATCAAATATTCATTTAAAGGTCTCTGGGATGACCTTGTCCAAAATGAAGATCACCAAAGTGGTCCACCTTGGTAAAAACCAAATAGTTTTTGTGTATATGACCACTTCATATTTCTGTCTTGGAATTTGAAAGAAATGTTAATAACAATTCTACTGGTAGTACTCGGATTGAAAATCCAATTAATAACTGAAATGAAAGAATATTTGATTTCTTTTTACAAACTGCAATTTTTAAAGAATTCAACCTTTCATCTTGATTTGAAGTAAGATTTAGTGATATTATTTAATTGAAACAGTATAATAGTGGTTGTAATTTCTTTTATAGAAAGATGGCTTTTTATGTCCAGCTACTCCAGACATACCTTTGACCTCAAGTCAACATGGACAACAGAAACATGATGCACAAGAAGGTAAATATATATATAATTATTTGAAATATACAATCATCAAAAGCCAGGTAAAGTCTCATTTTTTGCAATTTGTATCAGTGAAATTTTGCAGAATTGACTCTGAAAGTGGTAAAATCTTGGAAAATTTAGAGTTTCAGTCAGAAGGATGCAATATAATTTCAAAATTGTCAAAAAGGTTTTCTTCATTTAATTGTCACACATATCTACAAAGTTACCTTTGCTATGAGCAGTGGGATGAAAAAATTAATTTTAATGTTAAAAAATTGGTGCATACCGGCAAGTCATTTGAAGAAACATTGAACTTGTAACAGAACTGTAACCCAGACATGATAAAAATCACTTATCATTATATGTTCAGAACCAGAATACCAAGAACATTATGAAGCAGAAGATATTCACTGTGAAACATCATTACAAGGTCTGGCTCAGTTTAATGAAGATTCCAAAGACAGGTCAATGATGTGTATGGCAGAACTTGTACAAGGTAAATCTCTGGCCCGAGAACACAGTTATTTCGTAGTGCATTTCTTTTAGACAATAAATTCAAATTAAAAAAATCGCACCTGCTCTATCTCAAAAAGATTTTTACAGTGTAGTGTACTACTATTGATACAAATAATATCAAAATTATAGAAACTTCTACCAGCTCTAACTCAAAATATTGACAATTCTGTGTTAAGGGGGGCTAAAATTCAGTTTGACAGCTTCAGACATTCTAATTTTTGACCTTTTTTAACTGGACCAAATCACTACTTAACATAAAGATTCAGCACCCAAATTTTTTTAACATGTAATCTCATCCCCTTACTTAATATTTCATGCATAAAATATCAAGAAATAAATTGGGAAAGTGTATCAAAAAAAAATGCAAGTTATACACTGTTCACACTAGGGACTATATTCGTAGACAACGAAAACCAAAGGACGATAACTGTGTCCTTGGACCTAATAGGATAGAAAGACTTGACCAATTTTAATAAAACTTTGCATGACTTAAGTTTAGGAAATTATAAGATAGTTGGCCAAGTTTCATGGCCATAGGATATATATTATAGAAACTAGGGTCATTTTAATATTGAAATTTGGATGTTTATTTTTGACGTTTAAATCAAAAATTTTCAACTGTCAAGATTTTGGCCTAAAAAATTTAAATATTGCAAAAATTTGCTTTTTAAATGCTCTTGAATATAATATAATAAGTATTTAAAGCAACGGAACACTCATTTGATTTATCAGATTTATCACAGTTATTCAAAAGTCAAATTTATATGAGCCTGTGCCTGAAAATAGAGATTTTTGAATTAAGGGAAGCCTTACATAAACATGCATTTTTTTCAACCAATTTGAAGTTTTTGAAGTTTTTTAACCATACATTATTCTTCCATATATATTAAATGTACTTTGAATGTAAAGAAAAGTTACAAAAAGCATACCACATGAGTATAAAATGGTCTTAGGCTATGTAAGACTGAGAATTATTTAGAGTCGATTTAGGCCATAGCCCATATTTACATATACAAATGCACACAGAGGCTATAAGAAATGGAAATTTGTTACTTTTTGCTCATTTCTATGCTAAGATGTTATGATACAAGAAGTCTAATTGCAAAAGGACTCTTGAATTCAACTTTTTTTTGCAGACAGTATGGTCTGATGACCAGTTTTTCACTTTTCAATGGAAAACTTGCATGTAGTTTTAGTCTCAAATGGCATATATTTGAACCACTTACTATCCTTAAGAAGAAAATTATGGTAGCATATGAAATGAATAGGGTGTACTGACCATTGTAAAGTGTTTTTTTAAAGATTTAGTGAAATATTTGTGATGGACTACAGATTTTATGTAGAAAGCTCTTCACATTTCACATACATCAAATAGGCCGTTTAACCAGGGACATAAATACAAATATTCTGCACATTTTTTCTGTGATAATCTACTTTTCTCTAAGATTCAAAGTTCACAAATGGTTAATTAAATTTGATTTAAGTATAGAAACACAAATATCAGGAACATAAAAAGCTGTCAGATAGAAATTCAGCATGGCTCTTAGGCATAAAATGGAAACTGCTTTAAAATGCTTATTTCAGCCGTATAATGCCAAAATGGGATATTTTAACAGAATTTCTGTCAAACAAAGATGTAAATCCTTTACTTTTATTGAGTTTGACAAATTGAAACCAGCAAACTATTCAGGAAAGTTGCCAAAGTACAGAATCTACATTTACGGAATTCATCTCTTAGGCCCGAGAACACAGTTATTTCGTAGTGCATTTCTTTTAGACAATAAATTCAAATTAAAAAAATCGCACCTGCTCTATCTCAAAAAGATTTTTACAGTGTAGTGTACTACTATTGATACAAATAATATCAAAATTATAGAAACTTCTACCAGCTCTAACTCAAAATATTGACAATTCTGTGTTAAGGGGGGCTAAAATTCAGGTTGACAGCTTCAGACATTCTAATTTTTGACCTTTTTTAACTGGACCAAATCACTACTTAACATAAAGATTCAGCACCCAAATTTTTTTAACATGTAATCTCATCCCCTTACTTAATATTTCATGCATAAAATATCAAGAAATAAATTGGGAAAGTGTATCAAAAAAAAATGCAAGTTATACACTGTTCACACTAGGGACTATATTCGTAGACAACGAAAACCAAAGGACGATAACTGTGTCCTTGGACCCTCTGTCAGTCAAAAGATCAATTTTCTATGGCAAGCCGTTTTACTATTTATTCTAACTTCAAGATATCTAATAAACTTTATAAGATATCTCATATAATTTTCTTTATAAGATATCTCATAAATTATATGAGATATCTTATAAACTATATGAGATATCTTATAAACTATATGAGATATCTTATATAAAAATATTTATAAGATATCTTATATACCTAATAAGATATATTATATACCTTATAAGATATCTTATAAGATATATTATATACCTTATAAGATATCTTATATACTTTATAAGATATCTTATAAGCTTTAGAAGATATCTTATAAAGTATATAAGATATCTTATAAAGTATATGAGATATCTTATAAAGTTTATGAGATATCCTATAAAGTTTATAAGATATCTTATATAGTATAAAAGATATCTTATAAAGTATATGAGATATCCTATAAAGTTTATGAGATATAAAATTTATAGGATATCTTATCAAAACTAGATTATATAAGATATCTTTTATATTATATGAGATATCTTGAAGTTCAAATAAATAGTAAAATGGCTTGCCATAATTTTCATATAAACTGATGTAATAACTGTGGATGAATTAATTTTTGTGGGTACCAATTTCATGGATTGAGGAAAAGTTGTATTTTTGTGAATATTTTATTTTATGGTTTTGCCAAGGGTTAGATCTGCATACAAGCCTATAAAATAAATCATACTTGGTTGAACGTTTAAATTCTTTAATTTGTTTACCTAAACTCACAAACTCCAGAAAAAGTGGTACCCACAAATAATAATACATCCACAGTATTCAAAAGCATTAACATTCACCTATACCAGAGTTTCTATGAACAAGTTCATAACTGTATCTGCTAATGGAAAAGATGCACAATTGAGAAACACGTATGTAAACCTATGTGAACTAGACAAGATTGAAACGTACCTGTCTGTTGATTTCTGGCATCATATGATATGATGATTAGGGTCAAGTTTGGTTTCAATTGTCCTCTTAGAGAACCTTTTTATAAAGTGAGCCAATTGAGCTTACAATAGCAAGAGAATGTGACCAGTGTCATACCTTCCCCATAGATGTTTCAAATAATTAGACATTATCTACATTTTATAACAAATAAAATATTGTAAATTGAATATAGACTTGTCTTTAATTATCAAAAATAAAATATCGTAATTAGGCTGTTAGACAGAACCCTGAATGAACAAGTGACTTTGTTGATCACTGATTACTATTTCCTCCTATGTAGAACATTGACAAACAAACATTGAAATCCACTAGTACAGTAATACAAAGTGCTAGGGGGATGTTTAACGACCTTGAATACCCATGAGGGTCTTGTGCAGTCGGTATGCCATTTGGGGAACAAACTTTGTTAAATAGTATAGTTCGAAAATCACTCTTGGCAAGTGACGGTAATTTAGAAAATGATATAAAAAAAAAACCATTAAAGTATGATTTGAGTTAAAATATGGTTATCATGTTTACTTTCAGATCTTGGACAGGATAGTAAAATGCTACATAACCAATGGGCTGAAACTTTTAGGTACCGGTAATTTCTACATCTTTTGAAATTAAATTGATATAGTTGGTATATAAGAATATAGTTTTTGTTTAACAAGACAGACAACTGAGCTTTTTTTAATATGCATACCGCAAATTTGGCAAGAAGACATGTCAATTTACTCATACAAATTATTCTGATCCACAATTTGACATGTTTGGTGAGCCACCAAATATCATCAAGGTGCTTCAGATGGTTATATAAAAATAAGGAGATGTGGTATGATTACCAATGAGACAACTATCAAAAAAGACCAAGGACAAAGATATAAACAATAATGGTTGTTTCAACACCTTAAGAAATGATTTCTTATATATTCTGTCTGATCACCTGGATTGTATTCACCATTCTTTTTCTAATGGAAGAATCAAGAATAATTTTTTAAATGAATTTCAAATTTTCTTGAGTGATCAAAGGGCTGTGTAAACTTTTTCGTACCTTGAAAGATCATACATATCCTTGCCATTATAATACAGCATATTACATAACCTTTTTGATATTTCATTATAACAGGTAGAACATTTAAGTCAAAGATATTTAAAATCATCTACCATTGTCCTGCTTTTAATCATAATGCTACATGTCTAGCTATAAGCAAAACAAGCAAGGAGTGAATATAATTTATGAACAGTCAAAAAGACTTGAAATGTAGATAGGTTCTTGTTTTGGTAGAAAGCTGTCTAACTTGCTTAATACATTTAATTCTAGATGGTTTTAGACACTCTTAGAAATTCAGTTTATCTGCAGTTTGAGCTAATAGAGCTTGATCATGCTACATAACTAGTTAATGCACATGGAAGATTCATAGTATTTAACATCACAGTAATGGAACTTCTGTGAGAATAAAAACCTTTTCTAAATTGTCAGGTGAAGTTCAAAGGAATTGTTTTATTATTGACATAGGTTCTTATATTGGTATTTTGAAAACAAATTAATCCTTAGTATTTATGAAGCAATGTTGATTTTTTTTTTTAAGCGAAAGTGAAAACTTTGAGAATTTGTGTCCAATACGTTTAGATAAGATGATTGAGCAGGCCAAGCAACTGGAAGAAAGTCTCCTGAAACAAAAAGAGCTACTGTGCAACAGACTGAATGTTATTTCACATATTATAAAAACTAGTATAACTGAAGGTCCAGGCGGTGATAATTAAACACCTTCTTATCGCAGATTGTATTTATAGGAATCTGATTTTCAATTAATGAATTTTGAAAATTAGGTTTTAAATTAAAAATTTGAAAAAGTTATTTACAATTCATACAAACTCCTGCATATTTAAATGTATAAAAATCCAATTTAGAAATTTCAAAGAAGAATCAATTTTGCTTTTTTTTTCTACAGAATTGTGTAATAAAAGCTTATTGGAAGTTAATTGAAAGTAAATCACTATATTGAAAACATGACTTTAGATATGTAGACTAAATTATTTTACAGAGATAACATTGACTATAGTTTTTTTTTGAAAATTGTCATATTCTTAAAAATTAATTATTCATGCAGTAATAACAACGTAGATTTAGTCGGTTTAAATTACAGGGCAGTCAATAATTTGTAAAATATTGTATTACAAAGAAAATATGATAGAATATGTGACATTTTAAATGTAAAATAAAAATAATCAATAATGAAAATTTCCAACAGTCATCTATGTTATGGTTTTATTGTTCTTGTATTTTTGAATGTTTGTTATTGTTATATTGTAATTAAATAAATTAAGATAACCATCTAATAATCAAAAATATATATTTTTCTCTTATTCTTATGTGCTGTATTTACACATGACAGTTCCTTTGTCATTCTTACATTTTGAAATACAAATTTGTACCATTTTTGTTTTGCTGACCCACATTTGACCAAATTATAGTCATTAAACTCACAAAAATCAATGAAACATGAATTCGTAATGATGAGTTATATATGGAGTTTTCTATACAGAATTTTCTATTACAGCACATTGACTTGAGTGTGTAGGTAAAGGTAGTATCTCTTGCTAGCTTGCTTGTAGCTGAACCATGAAATAATTATTAGCTAAAGTACCACCTTTTTTTGGGTGTAGTCAATAGTTAAGCAGGGAACAAATCACCTCAAGTCAATATGCTATAATAGAAAATTCTGTATAGAAAACTCCATATATAACTCATCATCATCACAAATTCATGTTTCATTGATTTTTGTGAGTTTAATGACTATAATTTGGTCAAAAGTAGGAACAGTATATAAATATTGTGAAACCAGTTTTACAAGTTATTTTAATAATATGTATTCAGGTTGTAGGTGTGTTTGATTTGTCAATTTCATTTCAATCAGTTATCTCTGTTCATTTATAACTAGATTGTTTACATGTGTAATTCTATAAAACTTTATGATTTAATCGATTTAAAAAAAAGTTTCCATACCCTTATTATATATGTTTATATATATATAATAAGGATATCATTATCTTTGATTTTGATGTGTATTTTTTTGGGGGAGTTAAATATTAGTTTTTGTCTTATCAAAAAGACCCAAATCTTATATATACCAAAAATGTTGAAGAATTACTTCTTTTATATGTGTGAAAATTATTTTACCATGAAAATTCTTTGGGTGTGCCATTCAAATAAAAACTAGACAAAGTGATTTGCACTCCACTCTGAAGTATCTGTATTATAACAAAGTCAATGTAGGACTTTCTTTGAGATATTATTGTGTCTGGGAGACACAAATGATGCCCCCACAGATGCAAAATTTGAGCATGGGAGCGCATAGGTCTATGGTTCACTGTAGGAGGAGTTATCCGGAAACTCTATGCACCTCTTATGCGAGTATATACTCTAAAATGAAAAAGTTCAACTATCTCCCAAAAGAGCAAATATTAATAAAAGTCAAAACCCTGACCATGTGCACACCTTCAATATAATTACAAACAGCCAGCAAAGTGAAAACTTCCTAGCATTTAAACTGTAGGAGTTATGTGGAATAACTATATACCCATAATGGGACGGATGGATGGACGGACAGGGATAAAATAATATGCCCCCCAACTTTTAGTTGCGGGGCATAAAACAGTTATAACCTTATTTCTGCATACCATTTTGGCCTATATCGAATGAAATTTCAAATGTCAGAAACTATTTACATCCAAACTGTCATTTTTGTTTTTAGTGTGTCAAATGATGCAGAAGGCAAAGCATAGGATTGCTGCAGCATACACTATTAATATAGAATAGCCCTTCAATTTTTGTGGGGGTATAGAAATTCCCTCATCCATCCATCCGTGCATCTGTCTGTTCTAATTGTATGCACTCTCATGTGTACAATTCTTGCCAGATTTTTATGAAATTCACATCAAAGATTTATATCAGCAATGTCTTGGACAAGTCTGAACATCAGTGCTTATCAACTTTTAAATAAATAGGGAATGTGTCCATGGGACACAGATTATGCCCCCGCTTGCATATCATATAAAGTTATAAAGGGACATATCTGAAGAATGGTAAAAGTGACGCTACCCAAATTTGTACTTGATCTGAGTTTTGTGGTAATAAGTATTGTGTATAAGTCTCATAACATTTGGTTGAGGCTAACTTAAGTTTGAGAATAGAAACGAAAAATTCAGCAATTTTTCCATTTGTAAACAGGCATATCTCTAGAATGGTAAAAGTGACACCACCAAAATTCAAACTTGATCTGTATTATGTGGTAATAAGCATTGTGTATAAGTTTCATAACATTTGGTTGAGGCAAACTAAAGTTAGAGAACGGAAACTAAAAATTCAGCAATTTTAATGTTTATAAAGGGGCAGAACTCAAGAATGATAAAAGTGACACCACCCAATTTCAAACTTGATCTGTATTATGTGGCAATAAGCATTGTGTATAAGTTTCATAACATTTGGTTGAGGCAAACTAAAGTGAGAGAAAGGAAACTAAAAATTCAACAATTTTTATGTTTATAAAGGGGCATAACTCAAGAACGGTAAAAGTGATGCAACCCAATTTCGAACTTGATCTGTATTATATGGTAATAAGCATTTTGCATAAGTTTCATAACATCTGGTTGAGGCAAACTCCAGTTAGAGAACGGAAACAAAAATTCAGCAATTTTTCCATTTGTAAAGGGGCATAACTCTAGAACAGTTGTAGTGACGCCACCAAAATTCGAACATGATCTGCGTTTTGTGGTAATAAGCATTGTGTTTAAGTTTCATAACATTTGGTTGAGGCAAACTAAAGTTAGAGAACGGAAATTAATTTGTGGACGTAGGTACGGATGTATGTACGTCCGTACGGATGGACAAGGGTAAAACTTAATAATGCCCCCTCTGCTACGGTGGGGGCATAACAAGAGTTATGTCCCTTTGAAATGTTAATTATATATAAAATTGCATTGTAAGCACTCTCACACTTACATTTTTGTAGGGTTATTATGAATTTTATATCATAAGTTTATTTCAGCAATGTCTTGGGCAAATTCAAAACTCATGCTGATCTATTATTTTACAGGAGTTATATCACTTTGAAATATAATTTAAATTAAACATTACACTGTAAACAACTAAATAATGATGGGTTCACAAGTTCAAATGATTTGTAAACTTTATGTAAATTCTCAAGGATCTTGCATGGTTGAAATTTGAGGGAGTTGATTACACATAAATGGTACTGTCTTTTAAATTTTTGGCCTGAAAAATGACTTTAAGTTCCAAATTTTAGAAAAATATGAAAAAAATCCTCAAACAATTCCATAATAGCAGGTGCACAAATTCTACATGTCTGCAAATTTTCTGTGAAGTTTCAGGTTAATTACTGTAGGAGTTCATCAGCCTGGAAAAATTGGAAATAAATGGAAATAAATGGAGAATGTGTCCCCATGGACACAGATGATGCCCCCGCTTGCATACAACATTATAAAGGGACGTAACTCAAGAACAATAAAAGTGACGCTACCCAAATTTCTACTTGATCTTAGTTTTGTGGTAATAAGTATTGCGTATAGGTTTCATGTTTGGTTGGGGCAAACTTAAGTTACAGAACAGAAACTAAAAATTTTGCAATCTTTCGATTTATAAAGGGGCATAACTCAGTAATGGTTAAAGTGACACTAACCAAATTCAACTTGATCTGTGTTTTATCAGTGGAAGGCAAAATTAAACATTGCATTGTATAAAGCATTGATTGTAGTTGATTCAACTATAATCATGGACAAAGGAAGATAACTCCAATTTTAAAAATTACTTGAACAATGACAAAAAGAAAAATTTAGCAATTTTTCCATTTGTAAAGGGGCATAACTCTAGAACAGTAAAAGTGACGCCACCAAAATTCAAACTTGATCTGTGTATTGTGGTAATAAGCATTGTGTATAAGTTTCATAAGATTTGGTTGAGGCAAACTTAAGTTAGAGAACGGAAATGAAAAATTTTGCAATTTTTCCATTTATAAAGGGGCATAACTCTAGATCAGTTAAAGTGACGCCACCAAAATTCAAACTTGATCTGTGTTTTGTGGTAATAAGCATTGTGTATAAGTTTGATAACATTTGGTTGAGGCAAACTTAAGTTAGAGAACTGGGGGGGCAAAAAAATTCCTCAAGCAATTCCATAATGTATAGCAGGTGCACGAGTTCAATATATGTGCAATCTGCATGTGAAGTTTCAGGGATCTGGATTAAAAACTGTAGGAGGAGTTACTCACACATTAATCTATGCTTTCATCTGGAAGCCATTGATGTAATTATTTTGTGACATCTTAATGAATATAAATCTGGAACTATGAATGGAATAAAAGTGAACATGTAATTTTGATAAATGCATTGTGTAGTACATAGCAACTAATAAGATCCTAGGTCAGAGCCAACATGTTATCTGAGAACCTTGTTGATACCACCACCAGAAACAGTAGATTTAAGTGTTGGTTGTGGCAAAATTTTTTTTTTAACCCTGCCACATATTCTTTTGCCTGTCCCAAGTAAGGAACCTTCATCAGGGGTTGATATATCTTAATGTTTTTTTTGTTATTTTGAGAATTTGGTGTTGCCAGCAGATTTTTGATAGTTTAATTTCTTTACAACTTTTAAGATATATTTAACTGAGGTTAACATATTGTATAGACACCTATCTATAGAAATTTAATCACTGATGGTAAGTTCAGTAGAGTTGAAATTTTGGGTTCTTAAAATTTTTCAGTAAAAAGAGTGCACACACTGAAATGCCTCATTTGCTTGTTTATAAATAAAAGAAGAATGTGTCTGAGGATAGCAATGCCTCTGCACAAGCTTCAAACAAATGAAAATGGGACGGACAGACAGAAAGATGGAAGGATGGACGGACAAGGGTAGCACTTAATGCCCCTGTTGCCTACGGCGGGGGCACAAAAATGATAATTGAATAATAATGAGGTCAAAGTCAAATGAACCCTGCCTAACACACACATACACCCTACAACCATTCCATACACCAAATATAGTTGATCTATTGCTTAATAAATCTGATAAACTGACAAAACCATGAAAACTTAACATTGACCAATGAACTTTCGTAATAAGGTCAAGGTCAGATGAACGCCACCAGACAGACATATGCACCATACAATCATTCTGTACACCAAATATGGACGACCAATTGCTTATAGTATCTGAGAAATAGACCAAACCACAAAAACTAAACATTGTATGATGAACCATGAAATAAAGGTCAAGGTCAGGTGAAACCTGTCAGTCAAAAATATACACCTTACAATCATTCCATACACCAAATATAGTTGACCTATTGCTTATAGTATCAGAGATGGGGACATGACCATGAAAACTTAACATTGATCAGTAACCCATGAAATGAGGTCGAGGTCAGGTGAACTGTGTCTGACAGACATGTAGACCTTGCAATGATGCCACATACCAAATATAGTTATCCTATTACTCATAATAAGCAAGTTTTTCACATGGCAATATTAAAATGCTTTGCTGAGTGCAGCCTGATACGACCGCAGAGGTCAAACCCTGAACAGTTGGGTCAAGTTTGGACACAATATTCAAGCTTGATACTGTCTGAATTTGGATTGTGATCAAATTTTTTACATAATATAGGTTTCTGACACAAAATAAATGTGGTCAAAGATCTTAAAAATTTGAAATGGGAGATTTAATTTACCTAGAATGGTATAATATCCAAAATCTAACAACATGGTTAGATTCAGCATATAAAAAAAACACCAAAAATTTGATTTTCAGTTGAAATCAAACAAAGTTTAATTTTGACACTTCAAACCTTAATATGGACTAATTTGAAAACAGGGCCCCCAAAACATCTAATTGCACAATAAAATTCAGCATATCATACAGCTGCAATAATTCAGTTTTTGATGAAATCAAACAAAGTTTAATTTTGGACCCTTTTGACCTCAATGTAGATTAATTTAAAAATGGGGCCCAAATGTCCAAAATATTAATACAAGGTTAGAACCCCCAAAAATTAAAGACTTTAAATTAATCCCATTGAAATTGGTTAAAAGATTTGTATTTATTTTCAATTGAAGATTTCTTGCTATTGCGCAATACTGTGCTATTGAAGATTTCTTGATATTGCACAATACTGTGCAATTGAAGATTTCTTTCTATTGCCCTATCTGTTCTATTGCGCAGTACTGTGCTATTGTGCAATACTGTGCTGTTGAGCAATGCTGTGCTGTTGCGCAATACTGTGCAATTGAAGATTTCTTGCTAATACTGTGCAATTGAAGATTTTTTCTTGAAGCTTTTCAAAAAATTTGAAGAAAAAAAATATAAACCCCCCAAAAAATTGGAATCCCCCCCTCCTCCCTTGGAGTAATTACCCCCAAACTCAATCCCAGCCTTCCCTTTGTGGTATGGAACCTTGTAGTACAATTTTAAAGAGATCCATACACTTAAACACAAGTTATTGTCTGGAACTAGAAACATGCTTGTTTTTTGCCTCTTTTCGCCCCTAATTCCTGAACGTTTGGGCCAATTAACCCCAAATTCAATCCCAGCCTTCCCTTTTTAATATGGAACCTTGTGGTACAATTTCAGAGAGATCCATACACTTTCACACAAGTAATGGTCCGGAAACTACAATAAATTGCTTCGTCGAGCGCAGCTGGATATGACCGCAGAACAGTTGGGGCAAAAATGGACACAATATTGGCGCTTGATACAGGTCTGAATTTGGATTGTAATTAAATATTTGACACATAATAGGTTTCTGACACAGAATAACTGTAGTCAAAGAACTTAGAATTGGTTATCTGATTTGAATTTATATTCAATTTTTTGCTTTTGTGCAATACACTTTGCTGTTGCGTATTAACCCCCCCTCTCTCCCCCCCACACATTTTTCAAAAAAAATAATATTTGAAGAATTTTTCTTTTTAATTTCTAAAATCTGAAATGAGAAAAAATTGACCCCCCACAATTTCTTTTTAACCCCCCCCCAAAAAAAAATTGTTTTCACCTCCCCCCTTTTTCCCCCAAAAAAATTCTTTCCCTCAAGATATGGTCATAATCTCAATTCAAATTCCAATGGAGTTTGCAACCATAATTACCCATTTAAATACATCATAAAAGTCTTACAATAGAAAATGACATACATAATCATGGCTAAAATTAATATTCCTTAATAGTAACTTCTAAAAATAAATTGACAGCTAATCATCTCAAGACAATACAACATTTCTTTATACATAATTTAAAAGCAGTGTAAGGGAGGTAATCAAATGTTGTGTTTGGATTACCACCCTTACACTGCTTTTAAATTGTCTTAAGTAATTGTCCATTAACCAGGAAACCCTTGTTTTTCCCCCTTTTTTGACCCTAATTCCTAAACGGTTTGAGCCATAACCCCCCCAAAGCAAATCCTAATCATCCCTTTGTGGTATGGAAACTTGTGGTATAATTTCAGAGAGATCCATACACCGTTCCACAAGTTATTGTCTGGAAACTAGAAAAATGCTTATTTGGTCCCCTTTTTGGCCCCTAATTCGTAAACTGTTAGGACCATAACCCCCAAAATCAATCCCATCCTTCCTTTGTGGTTATAAACCTTGTGTTTAAATTTCATAGATTTCTATTCAATTATACTAAAGTTATTGTCCAAAAACCAACTGTCTTCGGGCAACGCTGACGACGACGATGAAATACCAATAAACGACCGCAAAATTTTTTGCGGTCGTATAAAAATGCTTGTTTTTGGCCCCTAATTCCTAAGCTGTTGGTACCATAACCCCCAATATCAATCCCAACCTTCCTTTTTTAGTATTGAACATTCTGGTAAAAATTCATAGAGATACATTCACTTAAACTAAAGTTTTTGTCCGGAAACCAAACCTGTCTTCGGACAACGACGACATAATAGCATTATACGACCTTTTTTGTGGTCATATAAATTTTTTTTTTTTTTCAAGCAGTCACTGAACCATGAAAATGAGCTCCCAAGGACTTGTGACAGACAGAACCTTTGTAACATAAGGTATCTACATGCAAGGAATGAAGCATCCAGGTCTTGTACCTTCTGAAATATGAAGCTTTATACATAAAGTTTAAGTAGTTGCTGCTGCCAGATTGTAATCCCTATGTCTTGCATTCTGCAACTTTCTTCCCAGGCAAGACAATAACTTGGGATAGCTTTTGCTAAACAAAAAACGTGCCACATGCATGGAATAACATAATGATTTGTTAGAATGTATACATTACACTTAAGAACTGGTCTATTATTGTTGGTTTTTAAGGGGATTACATTATAGCCTACTGTCACTATTTTTACGAAATAATTCATCTCTAGAAATTGGATGTAAGAGATAAAATTAATTTGAACTTATTTGATTTTTAGTTGTGTTATTAAGATTTATAAACAAATGTATATCATAAGATACTATACATTTTCTTTGTAATTAAAAACTTTGTATTGATCAGATGAGTTAAGCCCGTTTCAACTGATTTTTATAGTTTGTTTTTATGTTGTTCTGCTACACCACTATCCAAGGTTAGGGAGAGGGTTTGGTGCCAGCAAACATGTTTAACTCTGCCACATTCTGTATGTGCCTGTCCCAAGTCAGAAGCCAGTAATTTGGTGGTTGTTGTTTGTTGCTGTATATCATATTTGTTTTTTGTTTAATGTTTTGAACATAAATCAGGCCATTAGTTTCCTCATTTGAATTGTTTTACATTTGTCCTTTCAGGCCTTTTATAGGTGACTATGTGGCATGTGTTTTGCTCATTTTTGAAGGCCGTACTGTGACCTATAGTTGTTAACTTCTACCTCATTTGGTCTCTGGTGGAGAGCTGTCTGATTGACAGTCATACCACATCTTCTTATTTTCATATTTAAAACAAAAAGTATACACAATACATTTACTTTGAAATGTAGGTCTATAATTTATATAAAAACTTTAATCAATAACAAATACCTATATTTTTTTCAATAATATATTTTTATTTTTCAAATAAGATTGGTAATGAAACAATCAAGCATCATGTCATTATATATGTCACATTATTTGGTTGAAATTTCTTGAAAAAGTTTTACATCAATATAATAAATTAACCAATATGCAGTGCACAGTATATATCCTTAACTCCTTCAAGGTAATGAGGCTTACTAAAGCTTGCCTGGTTTAATTAGTCACCTGAAAAAAAAAATTATCATGATCTTTAGTTTAAACAGGTCAGGAACACTACCTTATAGGGATGTGCATTAATTAGCATAATAATGTCCTCGCATTAGCATACTAATGTCCTTGCATTAACATACTAACGTCCTCGCAAATATAATTGTTTATTTATGTATGACACATTTTTTTTACATGGGTTTTTGACCAAGCAACTAAATGAGTAACAATGCATGATGGACTACTACAAGTTTACAATCAACCGATAACACGTGTTATTTATTGAAATACATAACCATTTTTTCATGAATTGCGGAATAAACAATTTCGCATAGTTTTTCATCTTTTGTATCTACATTTATAGTCCGTGATATAAATTATTTGTTCCATGCTCAGATTAACGAATAGTTGTTTCTATTTGATGTAACTAGAGTTTGAATTACCTGAAATATAGCTATTAATATTATTGATGATTAAACGAAGATTTCAGATTTTCATCCACAAGACAGCCGAATAAAACAACAGTGAAAAACACAGTTACCTATAAGAGGAACTTTCATTCGGATAGTTAAAAAATAAGGGATCCTGGAATTTTGAGTGGGTTCATAAAAAAGGGGAAGGAAGACTTAGGGTATGTCAAATATCTGTTGGGGTCACTAAAATGTCCCAGCTTTTCACATAATTGATGAATTGATATTGCACCTCTTTATATGATTACAAAAGTCATTTAAATCGAGGAATGGTAAAACTATGTATTTATAACTATGCTCTAAGAAACAAACATAAACACCTTTCAGAAAGATTGGTTTTCCATTATCTTGAAAAGAGATATTTACTGTAGAATTCTGTATAATATTAAAATATATATAATTTGACAGGTACAGTACATGTATAAAACCTATATCAATTATCATACTTCATCTAAACTGTCCAAAGCATTCCTTAATTCTTGTCTGACAATGTTAACAAAATATAAAAGAACTGAAATTTTGGCATATTCAGATTTTTTTCTTTTTCTTTTTTATCTCAAACTGTTCCCTTTGTTCTGAAGGTAATGAAGCAATATTTTCTTCGATCATTGCAAGAAGCTGTAGTTTCATTTTGTTTTCAGTTTTGCAAAGTTCATTTTCTTCTATTAGATATTGGAATTTTTGATATTTTTAACGGACTCAATATTTACCAATCTTGATAAAATCATTAATGATGCTATCAATGTTTATGAGGGTGTAGATGGGGTTTTCAGAATAGAGAATGATGGGCAAAAAAAAAATAAAGAATAGAGAAAAATGGGCAAAAAAAAAATAAAGAAAAGAGAAAAATGGGCAAAAAAAAAAAGGATCAGAGAATAATGGGGTGCTTAAATATGAATAACTGCCAAAATTAAAGAATTGGGTAAAAATATACTGATTACAGAAAAGAACAATGTCCAGAATACAGTTATCAAGTAATTACAGAATAGCCATTATTTTTAAAGATAACGAATAATGAGTGAAAAAATTAAAGGAATACAGAAATGAGGAATTGAATTCCTGTATTTATTTCAGTTGTTTCATATATTCCATTCTTCCAAGTAAGGAATTAATGTTCAGGTACAATGCATTACAATGGACAAAACCTGTTCAACTACTTTTACAAGGCAAAAAAGAAAAGTTGAATCGTCTAAATCTGAAAATTCAAGATTATGTGATATATTTTACATTTAATACATTGGCTGAACAAAAATATTTATTATGAGAGACCCTGACACTATCTAAGTTGACAGTTTTCCCACTAATTCAACATGTTTTACATGGTAGTAAACTCGTAGTAGCCCACAATGCATTTTAGTTCATTTAGTCGATTGGTCAGTTTTTCAAGGCCATGTTTACCTTCTATTTGGGAAATTACTATGCAAATATATACTGATGTCAGGGAATGTAGTGTTCCCAACCTGTTAAAGTGTCATCTGCTATTGTGCCATGTATTTCCATTTATGTGCTTCTTATCAGTGTTTAAGTCTGTTTTTTTTTAAGATTTGCAAGTATTGTATTGTACTATAGATAGTGTTTTATAAAAAAGGTAAAGAAATATGGTAAATTTGTCAATATTCCTAACAACCTTGAAACTGTTATTTGAAATATCGAAACCTTTGAAAGTAATGTTGCCATCTATTTTTGACTCTGCCTATAAATATTTCTTGAGAAATTTTTCCTTAGAAAGAGTTTAACAAATAGTCAATTAATATTAATAAAACAATTGAATTTGTTTTGAAAAATGTGTGCTACTGTGGTACTGCTCTCAAATGACACCCCCTTCAATAAACAGGAAGTTGAAGGGCAATGGATGTGAAAACACATCACACAGTAAGACACTCCTCAAATGAATGGTGTTATCAAATTTCTTGATATACTGATTTGTGGTTCCTGAGACAAATGTTACTTAAATTTCATAAAGGATTATTACATGTAAGAACTGTAAATTCAGAAATTATTGCGTGCATTTATTATTGTGATTTTTGAATTGGACAAAAACACAAGATTTATCATTGAAATTTTGGGAGAAAACTGTAAACAGATATATTTATCAGATATCAGAATGCAAGTTCTTATTATTGTGATACTCAACTCACCCAGTCGCATTATTCGCATTAATAAAAACCTCTCAATAATTTCTGAATTTACAGCATATGTATGTATTTGGTAAATAGGAAGTTGATAAGTGAGGAATGAGGAAATGCATCACATAATATAGCATGTTTATATGAAGGCATGCTTTGATTTGCAGTTCTGAGAGAAAATTTCATACATGGCCATTATGTTTAAGAACATATACGAATTGAGTTAAAAGAGAGTTGAAGATCTATGAATGTAATAGCATGAACACAGGAAGCTTCAAGGGCCTTTGTGGCCGAGAGGTCTAAGTAGTTGAACTACTGTATCACTAGCCTATCAAAACTGTGGTTGTGAGTCCCATGTGGCAGGTGCATTTGACTCCAATCTTAATTGACCAGGATTGTTTGTTTTCCTACCGAAGGTCTGTGGTTCTCAGGCACTTCAGCTTCCTTCACCAATAAGAACTGACCGCCATGAAACAGTTAACAGTGCTGATAGTTGAACACCAATCAATCAATCATGAAGATTAGTAACTTATTTAAGGAAGTTCTGAAATGTAGTTCCTGAGAAAAATTTGGCAGAAATTTCATTGGACGGACTGAAAAACAAGGGTTAAACAGTATACCTCATCTTTCAAAGCAATAGAATAATTAACATTATTGGCCATTTAAAATACTTTATTTATTTATTTCTGAATAAAATTGTCACTAAAATGTACATGCATTAATTCATGATGATTGTCAAACATGTACAGATGAACTCTTAACTGCTGAAATAAGACTTTTCAAAATATTTTAAGGTTTTTCTGTTTCAATTTATATATGACTATTACATTATATACCATTATATAACTCAAGAACAGTAAAAATGACGTCACCCAAATTCGAACTTGATCTGAGTTTTGTGGTAATAAGCAATGTGTAAAGGCTTCATAACATTTGGTTGAGGCAAACTTAAGTAAGTGAATGGAAACCAATTTTGGGATGTGAAACAAGTAAAAACGGTATAGGGGGAGGGTTGAGATCTCAAAAAACATGTTTAACCCCGCCGCATTTTTGCGCCTGTCCCAAGTCAGGAGCCTCTGGCCTTTGTTAGTCTTGTATCATTTTTAATTTTAGTTTCTTGTGTATAATTTGGAGTTTAGTATGACGTCCATTATCACTGAACTAGTATACATATTTGTTTAGGGGCCAGCTGAAGGACGCCTCCGGGTGCGGGAGTTTCTCGCTGCATTGAAGACCCATTGGTGGCCTTCAGCTGTTGTCTGCTCTATGGTCGGGTTGTTGTCTCTTTGATACATTCCCCATTTCCATTCTCAATTTTACTTTTTTTATTTTCACATTAGAGAGGTCAGGTATGTTTTCTTTAAACATTTATGTCATTTTGTCTATTATCTCTGCAACAGTTTTATTGAAATCTTTTTATTTTTTTTAAATTATAAAGTGTTTGAGTTTCAATGGGACCAAATAAAGCCATTCAAAAATGTTTCTCAAAATCTACTTGACAGAAAAAATAAATTGCTTCGCCGAGCGCAGCTGGATATGACCGCAGAGGTCCTACCCTATACAGTTGGGGCAAAAATGGACACAATATTCGCGCTTGATACAGATCTGAATTTGGATTGTAATTCAATATTTAACACATAATAGGTTTCTGACACAGAAGAACTGTAGTCAAAGAACTTAGAATTGGTTATATGATTTGAATTTATATTCAATTTTTTGCTTTTGTGCAATACACTATGCTGTTGCGAATTGACCTCCCCTCCCCTTTTTCCAAAAAAAATTTTTTCCTCAGTCATGGTCATAATTTCAATTCAAATTTTCAATGGAGTTTGCAACCATAACAACCCATATAAATACATCATAAAAGTCTTAAAATAGAAAATGACATACATAATCATAGCTAAAATTAATTTACCTTAATCAGCATTTTTAAAATTATTAAAATAGTAACTTCTAAAAATGAATTGACAGCTAATCACCTCAAGACAATTAAAAAATTCTTTATACATAATTTAAAAGCAGTGTAAGGGAGGTAATTCAAAGTTGTGTTTGAATTACCTCCCTTACACTGTAATTTGTACTTAAGTAATTGTCCATTAACCAGGACACCCTTGTTTTTCTCAATTTTTTTGCCCCTAATTCCTAAACGGTTTGAGCCATAACCTCCCCCAAAGCCAGTCCTAACCATCCCTTTGTGGTATGGAAACTTGTGGTATAATTTCAGCTAGATCCATACACTGTTCCACAAGTTATTGACATGAAACTAGAAAAATGCTTATTTGGGCCCATTTTTGGCCCCCTAATTCCTAAACTGTTGGGACCATAACCCCTAAAATCAATCCCAACCTTCCTTTTGTGGTTATAAACAGTATGTTTAAATTTCATAGATTTCTATTTACTAATACTATAGGTATAAAAAACCTTTTTGAAGAATTTAAAAGAAAGAGTGGTTCTCAGGTAAAAGAAAAGGAGCATATTATCATTTTTTAGAAGCAAGACCAAAACCCATTAGCATAGATGCTCAAACTAAAAATCAATCTTCATTCAGACATCCTGAACGAATGAATATGCATAATATATTTAGCATGTACAAATGTATCATTAAGAAAAGAACAAATAATTACTATGTCATTAATCTAAGGCACTAAATCTATGTTACTTTTTAAATAATTAGAAAGTCCGAGCTGGTCACCATATTGGAATGAAATTAAAGCCTCAGTAGATAATTGGATTAGAATAACATTACATATATGTTACTTTGGTTGCTTACTTTTACGATAAACATATTCCAATGCACTAGATAAGGTTCTCATGTCTGCCTCAATACTCTTTGCCCAATTTTCAACATCACCTAATTCCTGTAAAAATATATTGATGATTATAGTTCTTGATATAGATTATTCTGAACTTTGAAAATGTAAGATTGCACTATTCATCAAATTCATTAAAAAAATGGTCATACATTTTTCTATCTGATATTAGGCTGAAATGGACATTAAATGCTGGTTTTCCCATTTTTCCAATGCATTTTACCTGTTGTTTCTCATGGCAAAATGAAGGTAATTCAATATTACAAACATCCTGTTTTTTTTAGTTTTGTTTTGTTGATGTCTTAATCATACATACTGTGTATCTTCTTTTATTCATAATGTTAAAATTCTATAAGATAAAATACACCATAGGCAAGAATTTCATTTGATAAATATGTATTATACATTTAGTTGTGTCTCAATGATCTATACTCCACATATCTTTTCATTTAAACTGAAGTAATTTTTTTAAAGTGTTGTGTTTTGATTTAGGAGATCTCTAAATGGAAACCTGCTACAATCTTTTTGCCCACTGGCATGAACTGAATTTGACAGCTTCTATCTTACAGGCATGCAATACAGTAGCAGGGGCAGATAATAAGGCATCCAAATTAAATGCTTTGTTTTGCAACATTGCCAATGATTAGCATCCAAATTTCACAGGAAATTCAATAACATCATTAAATCAGTATTGTGAATTTGTAAACTGATACAATAGAAAATGAACTTGTTGTATATTTAAACATGTGAAATCTACTGCAGTGCGCATAAAATACAAGGCAATTCAAATTTGTTTACTATTTTATCATTTATATGTTCCAGTTTGAGAGATCGAATCTTTTATCATTTTGACGTAAGGCAGGAATAGCTGCATGAAGATTAGATAAAGAACACACTGTTCAGTAATATATCGCAAAATAAGGGAATGGAACTCCAGCATTTAAAACAAAATGCTTCACTGAGCACAGCTGGATTCGTCGCAGAGGTCCGACCCTGAACAGTTGGGGTAAAAATGGACACAATATTCGTGCTTGATACAGGTCTGAATTTGGATTGTAATTAAATATTTGACACATAATAGGTTTCTGACACAGAATAACTGTAGTCAAAGAACTTAGAATTGGTTATATGATTTGAATTTATATTCAATTTTTTGCTTTTGTAATACACTATGCTGTTGCGAATTGACCCCCCCCCCCTTTTTTTTGCTTTTGTGCAATACACTATGCTTTTGCATCTTGACCCCCCCCCCTAAAAAAAATAAATTTTCTTTTTAATTTCTGAAATCTGAAATGAGAAAAGATTGCCCCCCTTTCCCTCAAGATATGGTCATAATCTCAATTCAAATTTCCAATGGAGTTTGCAACCATAATTACCAATTTAAATACATCATTAAAGTCTTAAAATAGAAAATGACATACATAATCATGGCTAAAATTAATATTCCTTTTATAGTAACTTCTAAAAATAAATTGACAACTAATCACCTCAAGACAATACAAAATTTCTTTATACATGATTAAAAAGAAGTGTAAGGGAGGTAAATCCAAACATACACAACATTGTACTTTAAATGTGTTTGGATTACCTCCCTTACACTGCTTTTAAATTGTCCATTAACCAGGAAACCCTTGTTTTTCCCCCAATGGTTTGAGCCATAACCCCCCAAAGCCAATCCTAACCATCCCTTTGTGGTATGGAAACTTGTGGTATAATTTCAGAGAGATCCATACACGGTTCCACAAGTTGTTGTCTGGAAACTAGAAAAATGCTTATTTGGGCCCCTTTTTGGCCCCTAATTCCTAAACTGTTGGGACTATAACCCCCAAAATCAATCCCAACCTTCCTTTTGTGGTTATAAACCTTGTGTTTAAATTTCATAGATTTCTATTTACATTTACTAAAGTTATTGCCAAATGTCTTCAGACGACGACGATGACGTGATACCAATATATGGCGCAAAATTTTTTGCGGTCGTATAAAAACTTCATTTTATGCTTTTAGTTGAAAATACACCGGATCTCCATTTTTTCCCTACAATCTATTATGCACAACTTAAAGAATGTTATGTCAAATTTTTTGAGAAAAATCAACATTTATTTTTGTTTGCATTTGTAGTTGCAAGAAATTTTTTTACAGTTTTCTATGACCTATAATTGCATGGTTTCATAAAAATTTGATCATATGTAACCTTTATTTGGGTAATTAACTATAGGCTTTATAAACTAGTGAACACACCAAAAAAGAAAAGAAAAAAAGGTAAAAATATCTTATTCTGTTTGAAGGTTTAGTTATTTTTTCTGAATAAAATTTTGTGTTTTTACCTCAAACATGCAAAAACCAAACTGATAGTAAGTCATGAAGGTATATTTATATCCTATTTGTATTTAGAAAACCATTGTAAAAACTATCCTCTAAATAAATCTACTTATTTCAAATATTTACATTTCTGAATATTTTCCTTGTTGTCTCTTCCTTTTATTTAGAGACAAATTTTTATTATTTTTTCTTTTATAGATAGAAAATCTATTCTATTATTTATACCAGATTTAATTGTATCAACCAAAATGCCAAAATCAAACCAATCATCTGTAAAATTTGGTTATTGGAATATAGGTGGCTTATTTTCAAAGGGCATGAATAAAGCAGAGGATCCCCTTTTTCTGAAACATATAGAGAATTACGACATTGTTTTTTTAGTCGAAACTCATGTGGGATATAATTCCCAAATACACAATATTGGTAAATTTCATTATCATCCAATATGTAGAAAATTATCAAATAATAACCGTCATTTTGGGGGTATAGCAATTCTACAGAAAAGTCACGTTAAACCTCATGTCAAAATATTGATTAACAGTAATCCAGATTATCAATGGATTAAATTAGAAAAATCCTTTTTTGGATTTAAAAGTGACCTATTTATTTGTGTACTGTACAACCCCCCTGTAACGTCTAAATATACCCAAGAACTCTCTTCTGATGTTTATGAATGCATAGAAAAAGATATCTTTCAGTATAAAAAAATGGGTGAAATTTTGTTATGTGGAGATTTTAATGCCAGAATAGGCACTGAAAATGACTTTATAGTAAACGATGATTCAAAATTTACTCCAATTTTTGATACATACCCTACTGACAAAAACATTATGACAAGAAAAAGTCGAGACCAAAAAATTGATCAAAGAGGCAAAGAAGTTTTGGATTTTTGCATAAGTAAACAAATAAGAATTTTAAATGGCAGAGTTCTTGGTGATACATTTGGTAATTTTACTTGCTATACCCCCAATGGTGCAAGTGTGGTTGATTATGTTGCTGTGTCGGAAGAAATTCTTGAAAATGTACTGTATTTTAAAGTATCCAGATTTATTCCCACATTATCTGATTGTCATTGTATACTTGAGTGGGAGTTATCTGCAAAATATTGTGTCCCTGGAGAAAATGATATTCCAATCCAGTTGAAAAATATGACACCTAATTATATCTGGACTGACTGTTCAGCAATAAAATTTCAAGAAACACTTTCTTCAGATACACTACAAAACTACATACTAGAATTCAACAACAGCACAATTCAATTTACTCAGACATCAGTAGATGAAGCATCATCAAAACTTTCAAACATCTTTTTATCAGCAGCAAATCTATCACTTAAACGACCTTTAAAAAAACACACAAACAAACAAAAAAACAAAAAGTGGTTTGACGCAAGTTTACAACAAGCTCGAACTAACTTGCTTAATTATGGAAAAATTTATTCAAGATTTCCATATGATCCAATTATCAAAAATCACTTTTATAAACTGAATCGTGAATACTCCAAACTAAGGAAATATAAATACAAACAATACAAACAATCATTGATTAGTCAGCTGGACTCCTTGCACGAAGAGAATCCAAAACTGTATTGGAACTTAATTAATGAACTACAGGAAAAAAACGAAACACAAAAAAAATGTGGAGTACAACCATCAACTTTGATATCACATTTCCAAAAGTTGTCACAACTGAAAGGTGAATTTCAAAGTAGATATACAGAGCTATGTGAAAAACTGAAACAGTTAGAAAACTCAAAATGTTTCAACGAGTTGGACTCCGTTATCACTGAGTCTGAAATATCCAAAGCCATTTCACACTTAAAATGCAATAAATCATCAGGCTTGGATAACATTAGTAATAATATGATAAAGAATGGACAGACTTTCCTTTTAAAAAGTTTTCAACAGATGTTTAATACTTGTCTGTCTTCAGGTATATACCCAACATCTTGGGCTGAAGGTTATATTACACCAATTTTTAAAAGCAACGATACAAGTGACCCTAACAATTATAGAGGAATAACAATAACAAGTGCAATTGGAAAGCTTTTTAATAGAATATTAAGTCTAAGACTGGACAAATTTCTTCAGGAACATAATATTATACATGATAGTCAAATTGGATTCACAAGGAAAGCCAGAACTGCAGATCATATGTTTATTTTAAACTGTCTTATTAACAAATACTGTAATTCAAAAGAAGGTAGACTGTTTGCCTGTTTTGTTGATTTTCAGAAGGCTTTTGATACTGTTATACATACAGGGATCAAGATTAAACTACTAGATATTGGGGCTGGGTCTTATTTTTATAACATTATTAAAAGTATGTATGAAATTAGCAAATCATGTGTCAAAATTCAAAATCAAGTAAGTGATTTTTTCCCATTAGATATTGGAGTCAAACAAGGTGACAACCTCAGTCCGGATTTATTCAAGATATTCATAAATGATTTGCCCAGATATTTGTCAGATACTAGAGACCCAGTTAATGTCAATGACAAAGATCTACATTGTTTAATGTATGCTGATGATATTGTTTTATTATCTACATCAGCTGAAGGACTACGAGAAAAGCTGGGAATGCTTGATAAATTTTGCAAAGATTGGTGTCTCAATGTGAATACTAATAAGACAAAGGTGCTGATTTTCAACAAGGCAGGCAGACATGTAAAACAGATATTCACATTTCAGAATATAAATCTGGAATGTGTTTCAAAATACAAATACCTAGGTTTATATTTAAGCTTATCTGGTTCATTCAGTTATGCTCAAAATGAACTATACAAAAAATCCCTGAAAGCTCATTTCAAATTAAGGAAAGATCTTTTATCACTTAATCCTGATGTAAAAACAAGTATTCATGTTTTTGACCACACTGTAAAACCTATTTTATTATATGGTAGCAAAATATGGGGGATGTTTAATTCTCTTTCCTCTAAATGTAAGAAGGAAGATATATCTTTTGAAAAATTATATTCAGGTTTACCCTGTGAGAAACTTCATATAAAATTTTGTAAATTTATACTTGGGGTACACAAGAAAACAACAAATGCTGCAGTGTTATCTGAACTTGGAAGATTTCCAATATATTTTAATATTATAAAAGGAATGTTATTGTACTGGTATAGATTAGAGAATTTAGGTAATAATTTTCCTCTATTAAAAGAGGCATATACACAATCAAAGACACTACATCACATGAATATAACATCATGGTATGGTTCAATAAATGTTGTTTTTAAAATACTTGGTATTGACTATACAAATGCCATAAATGCTCCATTTTGTGAATCCTTATACAAATTTAAGAAATATATACAAACCAAGCTATCAATATTGTTTATTAGCTGTTGGAAAAAACAAATAGATAAATTTTCAGACAGTAAACTGAAAACCTACCTTTTATACAAAACAAATTTTGGTTTTGAAAAATATCTAACATTGATCAAGAATTTTGAACTTAGAAGAAGTTTTACTAAATTACGTGTATCTTCTCATAGATTACAAATAGAATTAGGTAGATATCAGGGTATTCCCCGAATTAACAGAATATGTAATAAATGTTCTTCCAATACTGTCGAAGATGAGGCTCATTTTCTATTTGATTGTAACAAATTTGAGGATGATAGAAATTGTATGTTAGCTAGTATTGCAAAATATAATTCTTATTTTAATCATATGAGCAGTCAAAGCAAAATTATCTGGTTATTTAGTGTAGAAAATGTTGATTTACTTAAAATAATATGTAATTTTATATACAAACATCTTCCTTAGTGAAGATTAGTTAAAGGAAATCTATGTGTGTATATACATTTGATTGGACATAGAAAATTATATTCATCTGAATATCACAAACATACTAGCCGATTAAAAAAAAAAAAAAAATAATTGTTAAGGTATATTATTTATTCAAATGTTCTCTTATATCCTTGAGGCATCGTCCCCTGGTATCAACTGCATTCAAGTTACCTATGATGCTTCCTTGTTTGCTTTTGATACAGGTAGGAAAGAGACATTTACACACATTTTACATGCCTATGGCCCATAAGGTATCGCCCCCTGGTGTCAGCTGCCTTTAGGAAACCATCATGCTTTCCTATTTGCTGCTGACACAGGATGAGTCATGGACATGCTTAATTTCTACTTTCTTTTTGGCTAATTATTATATATTTAATTGATCCAACTTTTTGTGTACTATACATATGTGGATATCTATTTTTCTTTTTTTCTTTTTGGGCTGCTTGTTTGTTATCTATATCAACCACACTTGCAATAATATGCATTAGTATTAAAAAAAAACAACACATACTATAGATTCTTTATCTACGTATTCTTAAAGAACTTAAATAGTTCTCGTTTAACTTTTTTTTTTTTTTTTTATCTCATTGTTTGTATTGTATTATGAAAAATTATTGATGTTGTAATGTTTATGCCCTTTGGGGCCCATAATTGGAAATAAAATATCTTATCTTATCTTATCTTATCCTACAATTGATCTTCTTACAGAATACAGATGTACCCAAATTGTACCTGTTTTGCAAAAAAGCAATGGAAACCTTATAGATATTCTTAGAGACTAAACAATTCGTCATTTTTTTTCTTTTGTCATTATGCATGTCTTTCAACATAGCTTAATATACTTGTCATTCATTAACAGGTAAAACATTCATTTAAAAAAAAATCTATAACCTGAAATCAAATAGACCTTGAAAAATTGTCATTACACAATTGCACATGCTCGTCTGTCTATCTATGTTTATGTTTATATCAGGTGGTAAGGCTGTCGTCAGACTTTGGTTGTCATCTCTATGGTTAATTAGATGTAGACTAGTCTAAAATATGCACAAAAATCTGATATATTATAAACGTTCATGCATTGTTCTTTGTTTTCTTTTCATTTTTGGACTTGATGTAATTTGGATAAGCATTTTAGTATATTATAAATGAAATATGAGAATTTAAGTCAGATCAGTAATCATGAATTTGATAGCTAATGCCCCTTAAAATTTTTGAAAATGCATTTTCATTAGATTACAGGAGCCCCCAAATTCTATATGCTAAAATGCATTACTAACTTTTTCACATAAAACAAATGGAGGTATGTAAATATCTTCAATGGACCAATTCAAGAGCTGGGTAGTTTCAACAATATATACTTTTCAGATGCAAAATACATTTTTTTTCTCTCTGGATTATCTCCCTCTTAACCATAGAAAATCAATATTTATGGCATCAGACTTTGTAATTGTACTTTTTTTTTTCAACTTTGACTAACTTTGTTAAACATTATAATATTTTCGAAAAGAAGCACTTACATTTGCAAAATTATCCACAGATTGATATTTTAAAATCATTGGTTCATTGAGAGAAATTGATCATTTAGGTATTATTGAAAATTGAAATTGAAAATTTAGGTATTATTCGAGTAGAATTTTATAATGTACTAAAATAATAGTCCAGAAATTTTATTAGGTAAAATGCATTATTAACTATTCAACTTAAAGAAACAAATGGAAGTATGTTTATATTTTCAATGGATCAAAGGCTGGAAAGTTTTAAAAATCTGTACTTTTTATGATTTTCTGAAATAATTTGTTTTACTAGATTATCTCCCTTGGAATAATCCACCAACTGTTTCTTGTAAATTTGTGTACTGATGTGTAACTAAAACACACATGTTTAGTCAATAAATAATCAACCTTTATCTCATTGTTTTCCTCATTCATTGATTTCAGGGTATAGAAATTGGTCCTTTTCATGTAAAATACTACATTCAACATGGAGAAACTAGTTCCCAGTACGTTATAGTATCTCCTTACATGCAGGGATGAGAACCAGATGAAATACTTTTTTTCTATGAACTTCTTTCACAATGTTGTTTAAGCATACTAAGTTTAAATAAAATCTGATGATCCCCTTGTGGACTGTTTTGCATGGTTTTATGGTAGACTGGGTGTTAAAAATACATGATATGGGCACGTTACATATCAACAGATGAAGTACCCAGTGAAAAAAAAATAGAATTTAACAAAATGTGGCATATATACCGGTAGATTTTTATGAATGTGTAGAAAAGCATGTGTGCAATTTAGGTAGTCCTCATTACAGAATATGGGATCATTTGGAGGTCGGTTACAACCCATTTATCAATGATTCATGTATGTATTCAAAATTAAATGTGTGGTACTATATATAGTAAATAGGGATACATCTACAAAATAAACACAGAATAGAAACTTTCGTTTGTGTCTTAAAATCTAGAAGGTGAAAAAATTGTCAAAAAAAAATGCAATTTGGGTAACTCAATATTGTATATATATTTCTTTGCATATTTCGAGTGGATATTGACAACATCTTACATGCGTAAAAAGTTCAAGAAAAAATCAATGTAAACTTTTTTATGAATCGTACGCCCTTAAACTCTTGTAACTTTTTTATGTACTAACCTTCTGAGCTGTATTGAAATCTTCTACAAGTTTTAACCATTGTAATGTTTGTTTAGAGAACTGTGCAGCATTGGCTTGTAAGATCTTTGTTTCTGTGTCTAGCTTCTTCTGATTAATATATGCCTGGGCAACACTACAAAATGTGAGCATGATCTTAAAAGCAAAATAAACAATTTTATACAGGTATTAACTCGCTAGTGGAGAGTTGTCTTATTGGCAATGTATAATGTATAAGATGTACTATGAGCTATTACTCACTAGTTTAACTCCCCATTATGTGTTGCTGACTCCTTTTTCCAGTAAATATGTGAATCAATCAATGTGTGTGACATTTTAAAGAGGTAAGTTTTTCAGTAAAGAGGAAAAAGAACATATAAAGAACCGAAAACCTGCCACATGATATGGAATACTTAGATGAAACTTGGTGTCAAGAAGCTATATCTTGTACTTAATGAGGGGGGTGCCAACACTGAGATTGTGAGTTCGAATCCCGCATGTGGCAGGTGGGCTTGACTCCAATCTTATTGACTAGGGTTGTCAGTTTTCCTACTGAAGGTCTGGGTTCTCTCCTGGCACTCAGGCTTCCTCCACCAATAAAAACTGACTGCCACAAAATAACACAATAGTGTTGAAAGTGGCATTAAACACCAATCAATCCATCAATCATACTTAATGAGGGAAATGTTGTTAAGGAAAGAGGTAAACCAGGAAACTTATATAGGGTATAATAAACATTTCAATAAAAAACATCAGTGGAATATATAGTCTAGAGACATTTACTAAGAGAAATAACTATTACACATACCTGTACATGTATTTATTTTGAGCTCTGACTGTGAGAATTCTTTGATAGTTGTTTTACTTGCATCTTTATTATCTATTTTAGTGGTATTACAGAGTTAAGGGCTTTTCTGAACTGAATTTATTTGATTGTATTTTTCATAAATTTTGTTTCTTCCACTAATTGGAAATGGGAAAAGGTTGAGCAATCTAGTTTAACCCTACCACATGTTTATGTGGCTGTCCTTAGTCAGCAACCTTATCAGTGGTTGTATTATAACATTTCTTATGTCTTTGGGTCTGTAGGAAAATTTGTTGTTGATGGCAGATATATTAAATAAATGTGGATTGTGTCCACATGTGGACACAGATGATGCCTCCGCTTGCATATCATATAGTTATAAAGGGACATAACTGAAGAACGGTAAAAGTGATGCTACCCAAATTTAAATTAGATCTGAATTTTGAGGTAATAAGCATTGTGTGTAAGTCTCATAACATTTGGTTGAGGCTAACTTAAGTAGAGAACAGAAACGAAAAATTCAGCAATTTTTCTATTTGTAAACACGCAAAACTCTAGAACGGATGTGTATAAGTTTTATAACATTTGGTTGAGACAAACTAAAGTTAGAGAACGGAAACGAAAAATTCAGCAATCTTTATGTTTATAAAGGGACATAACTCAAGAATGGTAAAAGTGACACCACCGAATTTCATACATAATCTGTATTATGCAGTAATAAGCATTGTGTATAAGTTTCATAACATTTGGTTGAGGCAAACTAAAGTTAGAGAACGGAAACAATATTTGTACTTGATCTTAGTTTTGTAATCAAAACGTTGTATTTGGATTACCTCCCTTACACTGTTTTAAATTGTCTTAATTGTTCATTAACCATTACTTTATACATAATTTAAAAGCAGTGTACGGGAGTTAATTTAAATATTGTATTTGATTTATCTCCCTTACACTGCTTTAAATTATGTTTTGTACTAAAGTATTTGTCCATTAACCAGGACATCCTTGTTTTTCCCCCTTTTTTGCCCCTAATTCCTAAACAGTTTGAGCCATAACCCCCCAAAGCAAATCCTAATCATCCCGTTGTGGTATGGAAACTTGTGGTATAATTTCAGAGAGATCCATACACCGTTCTACAAGTTATTGTCTGGAAACTAGAAAATGCTTATTTTTGGCCCCTTTTTGGCCCCTAATTCCTTAACTGTTGGTACCATAACCCCCAAAATCAATCCCAACCTTCCTTTTGTGGTATTGAACCTTATGGTAAAATTTCATAGAGATCCATTTACTTAAACTAAAGTTAGAGTGCGAAAACCAATGTGTCTTTGGACGACGACGACGACGCCAACGTCATACCAATATATGACCCCAAAATTTTTTTGCGGTCGTATAAAATTACTTGAATAATGACTGATATTTTTGAAAAAAAAATGAAAAATTTAGCAATTTTTCCATTTGTAAAGGGGCATAACTCTAGAAAAGTAAAAGTGACGCCCCCAAAATTCAAAATTATTCTGTGTATAATGGTAATAAGCATTGTGTATAAGTTTCATAACATTTGGATGAGGCAAACTTAAGTTAGAGAACGGAAATGAAAAATTTTGCAATTTTTCCATTTATAAAGGGGCATAACTCTAGAACGGTTAAAGTGACGCCACCAAAATTCAAACTTGATCTGTGTTTTGTGGTAATAAGCATTGTGTATAAGTTTCATAACATTTGGTTGAGGCAAACTTAAGTTAGAGAACGGAAACTAAAGATTTTGTAATTTTTCCATTGATAAAGGGCATAACTCTAGAACAGTTAGAGTGACGGTGCCAAAATTCAAACTTGATCTGTATTTTGTGGTAATAAGCATTGTGTTTAACATTTGGTTGAGGCAAACTTAAGTTAGAGAACGGAAACTAAATATTTTGCAATTTTTCCATTTATAAAGGGGCATAACTCTAGAACTGTTGAAGTGACGCCACCAAAATTCAAACTTGATCTGTGTTTTGTGGTAATAAGCATTGTGTACAAGTTTCATAACATTTGGTTGAGGCAAACTTAAGTTAGAGAATGGAAACTAAAAATTTTGCAATTTTTCCATTTATAAAGAGACATAACTCTAGAACGATTAAAGTGACGCCACCAAAATTCAAATCTGATCTGTGTTTTTTGGTAATAAGCATTGTGTATAAGTTTCATAACATTTGGTTGAGGCAATCTCAAGTTAGAGAACGGCAACCAATTTTGGGACGTACGTACAGACGGACAAGGGAAAAACTTAATGCCCCCCACCGCTAAGGAAAGGGCATAAAAAGGTCCACACTCCACAATAAGTGGTGCACAGTTAGTCCCCATTGGAATTCCGATAACTTGACGATATACGGAATCTTCATAGCTAACAAAAATGTTATCTAGTAAAAATTCAAGGGCAGTTATAGTATCAAAGCAGGTCCAATTGACATAGTTCTTTTGTTTGTTGTTACTTAAAAATGACCTAAAGGAGTATGAACATATATATTCGCATTCTGATTTTCTAAAATGCCCGTTTAATGAGGTGTGTGAATTTTTTCTAATAAGATTATGAGGCAAAGTGGTATATAGGGTAGAAAAATCAAAACTTTGAACAGATTAGAAATCAACAATATAAGCATGCAATTTATCAAGTACTTCCAACAAAGTTTTGACACTCCAAAAGTCATTAATTCCACTATTTTCAAAGGCCTTATTTGAACAATTTATTACCAGGTTTTTGATTGTACCAAGTGAACTAGTAAGTAGAATAGATAGTTTAGTAGTGGAACAATGGCTTGAAGACGAAATAAATCTATATTTGTAAGTTTTGTACAGCTTTCGGAAGCCAATACATAGTTGGAACTTTCACTGTATTTGGTTCTGCTTGTAAAGAGGTAGCTAAAAGTTTATGTTTGTTACAGATGTCATTTTCCGAAAATGGAGTCAGTTGGAATGTTGGTGAATTCGTGATTTCCTTTTCCAGAACCTCAATGTAAAATTTACGTGATACATTTTTCTGTACTTACCCGCCATTTAAATGATCAACCAAAGCATGAGTCAAAGCTGTAGCTGCTACTATAGCTTCTTTTTTCTTCTTTTCTAGAAAATTAAATTACAAATTATTTTAAAATAAACATTGGTAACAGACAGTTACCTTTTCAAAGCTTAGATACAACATGTAGCCTTCAATTTCAGAATAATTAAAATATTTTCAGGGGATTCTTACTCTTGTCTATGACACCACATTACTCCCTCCATCATGAAAGGAATAGCACACCATAATGATGAGAGGACCATAGTCTACCAAGTATATAGTAGTCAGCTATTGGTTTACAATAGCAATCCTTTACATTTTTTTTTATGCTGCAATACATAATGTATATGAATTGGTGTGCAATATTCCATAAAATTAATGTTTCCAAGGGGCATAACTCTTTTGAAAATAATTGATTGGCACTGATTTTCGAACTCATCCAAGACATTGCTGATATAAAAGATGATATAAGATTCATAAAAATCTGGCAAGAATTGAACACATGAGAGCGCTAACGATGCAATTTTCCATAAAAATCAATGTTTCCAAGGGGCATAACTCTTTTAAAAATTATTGATAGGCACTGGTTTTCAAACTCGTCCAAGACATTACTAATATAAACCTAAGATATAAGGTTCATAAAAGTCTGGCAAGAATTGTACAAATGAGAGAGCAAATGATGCAATTTTCAATATAATTAATGTTTCCAAGGGGCATAACTCTTTTAAAAATTATTGATAGGCACTGATTTTCAAACTCGTTCAAGACATTGCTGATATAAACCTATGATATAAGTTTCATAAAAATCTGGCAAGAATTGTACACTTGAGAGCGCTAACAGGACTGGACGGAGAGACAGACGTCTGGTATTTCCATGTCCCCCCACACACTTTGCACGGGGGACAATAATTGATTGTCTCTTATTTTCGAACTCGTCCAAGACATTGCTATATAAACCTAGGATATAAGTTTCATGAAAATCTGGCAAGAATTGTTCATGTGAGAGCGCTAACAAGACCTGACGGACATTCTGATGCCCAGTACTTCCATGTCCCCCGCAACGCTTTACACAGGGGACAATAAAACAAAAAAGTTTGACAAGTATCATTGTCACAAAAAATTCAAGATAAAATCAACATTACCTAGAGTAGTAAAATTCTGTTAGAGAATGTCAAAGGGAAATAATTTTGCTAATACATTTTTTACATGTACATGTACATCTATTAATAATAGCTTCTTAATAGGGAGGTCCTGTTCAGATGAAATACAACAAGAGGCTGTCAGAGTGACAGCAAACCGGATTTTCCTGCAGAGGTCGAACCCTGAACAGTGGAGCAAGTACATTTAAGCTTAAAACAGCTCTGAATTTGGATTGTGATTGAATATTTGACACAGCATAGGTTTGTGACACAAAATGAATGTGGTCAAAGAACTGAAATATTTGAAATTGGACATTCAGCATTTTAAAAGAACCCCATAAATTCAATTTTTGTTGAATCAAACAAAGTTTAATTTTGGACCCTGATTTGGACCAACTTGAAAACTGGGCCCAAAAATCTAATATTTAAATACAGGTTTAGATTCAGCATTTGAAAGAACCCTATATATATTTAATTTATGCTGAAATGAAACCAAAGGTTAATTTTATCCATAATATTTTCTGTGCAAAGGGAAATAACTCAAACTGGATAAATAGTTCTCTAAAATAAGATATGATGCAATTTTTCAAATTATAATCAATAATATAATAACAACAACCAGTGATGACTAAGTTCTCTAAAATAAGATATGATTTAACACTCAAACATTGTTAGAATCAGCATATCAAAGAACCAAAGAATTCAATTTTTGATGAAATTAAACAAAAGTTTAATTTAGGACCCTTTGGACCTCAATGTGGTATTATCTTATTGATAATGAAAAGAAATACAGGTTTAGATTAAGCATTTCAAAGAACCCTATAAATATTCAATTTATGTTGAAATCAAACACAGTTTATTTTGGACCCCGATTTGGACCAACTTGAAAACTGGGCCCAAAATCAGAAATCTAAATATATGTTTATTAATAGACAATATAAGCTTAGTTATTAAAGGAGTTCACTTCATCAAAAAAAAAATATATAGCATTCAGAAAATTAGTTTTTACAGAATAACAAACAAACTTGCCACAAAATTCTTCAAACAATTTACCAAAGAAAAGAAGAAAAAAATCCAGAATTTTATTTATCATTAATACAATGTCTTTTCAAAATCTATAAAACTTATCAGTAACAAGAAATAATTGTAACAGGATGCTGTTACTAAGTCTCCCAAACAAAGCTCCAATAATTCGTCATTCCCATGGTCGCCTGACATTGGGCAAAGTCCAGTACAAATTGGTTTGTGATATGCATAAGTGATGCCTATGGATTGACCCTGTATGTCATTCAAATCTTCTTGAAATGACGAACAGGAATATATATGGTTGTTTAGGGGTGGGGTTCTCAACCGTTTACAAGTTCTCAAAAGGGGGAGGGGGGTGTGTGTGATCCCCAGGTGACTCGCCCTTTATCTCATATGATTTGTTTTTTTGTCCCATACAAGAATATATATGGTTTAGGGGTGGGGATCTCGACCGTTTACAAGTTCTTAAACAGGAGGGGGGTGGGGGTTACCCCAGGGGACTCGCCCTTTATTTCATTTGATTTGTTTTATTATCCCATACAAGAATATATATGGTTTCGAGGGGGGGGGGGGTCAAATGAGTTTTCATCTATTAAATTTTATTTTTGTTCTGTAGTCTCTTCCTGTCCATTTCGACTAACAAATTTTAAAGTTGGAACTGATGCAGACTTAAGGAGACCAATTGTGAATATCCATCAACTGGTGGATTATACCTCATTTTTCAAAACACAGCAAAGGATTTAGTCAGAAGCAATTACATGTCACTTAAATTAGTCCAAATAATTATGACGCTTTTTGATAAAAAAAATTTGGACACCTTCCTTCAACGTCGTAGGAAGGCGTAACAGCAAAAATCAAAAATAGACTTTCTAGACAGCATAATTATTTGGACTAGTCACTAATGAGTACTCATCAAAGCTTAATTAAGATGGTATATGCAAAAAGATGCTCGAATATCTCTTTAAAAAAATTTATGATAAAAACTGCATTATACCTCAATTGGTCTATCTCACTGTATGTCAAATGGTGGATTATACGTCAATTGAGGTATAGTCATCAATTAATGGTTATTCCTGACCTGTTGTCAGTTGAGGACTTACAAAACAAGGTACATGTAACTTAATTCTGGTGCACATTTTGTTCCTTATATGTCAGCAAACGTTCTAATGCCATAGTTTAAAGTTAAACGATAAATAAATGGAGTTAACCTTGTCTTTCCTTGCGAGTTTGTTGTCTTATTTGATGCTGCTTCACAAGAGATGAAAGCATTTTCTTTCTTATGACATTTCCAGTTTGTTTATGTATTTTTAATGTTCCGCCTCCGGAAGTGACGTTTTGACAATTAATTATGAATATTATGATTATTTCTCAACCCTTTATTTACATAGTTCATCGATAAAAAAATGATTCACGGAAGATTCGTCAGTTTAATGGATTTTTTATGAACAGGGAAATTCGTATTTTATTTTTAAAGCAGAGGTTAGAGTTACTAAATATTGTTGAACATTCAACAAGGATTTGTAAGGTAGTGACCGAAATAGTGTCATTCATAGGATCGTTGGTCTTCTCGTATTTTCACGTGGGACAGGTGCTACCTGGGACAGTTGACAATGGCCGCTAGTCACTCAAAGGGCCTGTTTATTGTTTTAACAATTTCTTGTGTTTGTGGATTTAATATTGACACTAAGATACCTTTTATACGCACAGGACCTGTAAACAGTTATTTTGGATTTTCTATTGCAGAGCATATGATCACAAAATCGAATGGTGACATTGCCGAGAAAGTGTAAGTGATTGTCCCCTAGAATTTACACACTGTCATGAATAAAAGCAAATAAATAGAAGCAGCATGTAAACGTAAAATTTAGCCGACCGTGCAAGACCCTCATGGATAGTTTAGGTCATTACCCCCCCCCCCCCCCCCTTATTTGTAAAATTTTCCATACATAATTATTAATTATTTAAAATATGTAATAAATTAATGCTCATACAGTGAAAAAAAATACACTAAGTAGGGGGTTCCTTCTGAATCCGGGTCCATTCGCCCAAAAACACGTCCACCATTCATGTTCGCCCCCCTTCACGTTCGCACTCTTTTTATTGGTTTTTGTGTTGAATAATTATTCAATTGTTTTTTTGGTTAGCGTATTGCTATAAATATTTTTTTTTGTTCATTGTTTCAAAATGAAGTGATGTTGTTTGTGTTGAATATTTTTTTAATCGAGTTTTGGTTAGTGTATTGCTTTAAAAAAAATGTTTTCATTGTTTCAAAATAAAGTGACTTTTAAAAGGTTTTTTTGTGTTGAATATTTTTTAATGTTAAGATATACCAGAGACATATATACACATCTCTGGATATACTAAACCGCTATTAAACTCAACAACAATAACATTTTGAATCTTCATTGTTTTTACTTAAACCAAGCTAAATACATGCTAACTACATGCAGAATTTACATCAAAGCTAGTTAAAACAACAATCACAAATTTTCAAACACACAACAATAACACCAAGTTTAGCTGTGTAAACACCATATTAACAGTAATCATACATAATCAACATATAATGATTAATCATCAAATCAATTTAAAACAATATTTCATTTAAAAATTCCAGAATTTTTATTTATGAAAATAAAAATGTTTTAATATAAACATAAAAAAAACATCTAATAATTCATCAGGTTTTTGAAAAAAAAAGGGTGCGAACAGACCCATGAGGCGAACGTGTATTGGGCGCGAACGGACCTGATACCTTCATTTCTGCATTCTTTATTTTTAGGCCAGTTTTCTGAATTCTTCCTGGGACTATTATAGTCCCATATTCTTTATATTTTTTGCCCATTATAGACCTTATCGCTATTTGGAAATCGGCGCCGCTTGATTGGAGAATGTGGCTCTTGAACTATTGACGTCATACAACAATCACTTTTCCATTGTGGTGTCAGATATTTTCTATTATGACATCAAAATTTTACGGGAACCATTGTGATATCCAGTAATGCGGACAAATAGCAATAAGGTGTATTCTCTATATTTATATTTTAGCCACCCATTATTCTCTTTTCCATACTTTGTTGGGCCATTTTTCTCTATTCATTATTATTTTTGCCCATTATTCTCTATTCCTTACATTTTAGCACCCCATTATTCTCTATTCCTTACATTTTAGCACCCCATTATTCTCTATTCTTTATTTTTTGGTCCATTTTTTTTCACCCATTATGCTCTTTTCTGTAAACCCCCATCTAGACCCTCATGAATCTGGTTGGTTTGGGAAGCTTTTGTTTGTGCCCTAAAAATCTGTTAAGGCTCCCTAATAATTAATTTTAAAAATGCATCTTTATTAACTTATGGTATTTGGTTTTATTTATTTCATTTATGTAAATATTAAGGTAAATTTATGTGAATTTTTTTTTTAGGGTTTAATGATAAATCTCTTAACCCTTACCACCATGAAATGAATAAGACCAAATACAATAAGATAATAAAGATCAAAGTTTATTTTTTGTTTAATGTTCATGAGAGAAATTACATTGTATTTCACGTTCAACGTAAAATTCACGTTTTTTTCTGTGCAAACACCCACTTTACCACCCTCTCAGGGGAAACTAACAATCATTTTTGCATGGCCTAAAATACATCAGACCACTACTTCATATACCAACAGCACCCAACAACTCCTGAGAAAATATTACTTATAAATGAAGATAAAACAATGACCAACATATTGTCATGATTGACAATGATTGTGTTGATAGCCTTACTGAGTTCGTACTAATGTAATCATGGTAATGCAGCATAATCATCATGATAAAAGAAACTTGGCTGAATATTTTATTTACCACTATTCAACATTTCATCACATTTTTGGTGCTTATTACCTCCCCCCCCCCCCCCCAAAAAAAAAAAAAAACAAAAACAAAAAAAACAAATTACATTCAGATTGTACATGTACATTCAACTATAATTCTTATTCATGCCAGTCAAGTTTTGAAATTAACTTCATGTTGGGTGGGGGTCATTAGTGGACTGTTGCCAGGCAAAAAATGTTCCCCTATGGATATAACAATCAGAAAAAGAAATCAGATTAATTTTTGTATGAAATTTCAAACCCAAAAGGGTCTATGATGGATGAAAAAGATTTTTACTTAAAATTTTCTATAAGATATACTCATTTCCAGCAACAGTCCAGCTCTTCATATAGTTCACCCATATTGCAGCACCTACTTATTGAATGTATTGTTTGTTTATTCTTTTCATGATTATGCATGAAAAATTTGCCACTGGAGGTTAGGTAATTATAACAGCAATCAATCCAGTCAGAAAATGTTTACATGTACATGTATTTTAGAAGTTGAAGATGTATAATAATCAAAATAATATTTCCATGGAAAAAAGAACTTATACATTGTATTAAAAGATACAATAGAATGATGAATTACTTTTGTGATGCAATGAAGAAATTATAATACATTTCATTTCTTGTAGTATTGGTGATATGTATATTTTCTATATTTAATGAAATGTAATGGGCATAATAAAGCACTTTGACCATCTAATTTAAAGTAACAAATTGATTATATGATAATGGATATAATGACCTAAATCTGACCAGTTCAGAGGTTTTATTTATTTTGGCATTAAAATGTTGATGTCTTTATCTGTCATCAGCCATTTATATCTGATCAACTAGTGATACAGCATATGATATTTATATATTGTATTATAAATTCATACATCATGTTCAACTTAAATGATGTTTTTTTTTTTTAAAATACAACTCAGATGCAGTAATTGCAGAACAGGAGCAAAAATACATACATGTTTATACATGTACATAGTGAAAGAATTGAGTAACACATGATAATTATATTTATTCTATTGAGCAAACAGAGTGAACCCGTGCAAATTTGTGTAAACAATAGACTTCAATGAGGTCGGCACTGTCGAGGTTGACCATCTCCGCATATAATGAATGAGTATAAAAGAAAAAAGAAAATTCTTAATTACATACATAAATGTGTAAACATGTATAAAATGTATAAGATTACATCAACAATCTGCACTTTGAAATCAGAGGAGGGACAACACTATTTATGATTAAGTTCATACTACAATGTCTATGCAACATAATAAAAAAATAAGGCTAAATATTTTTATTTAAATCTATTCAACTTTTATCACAATGTTTCGTTATACAATTTAATTATTTCACTTCAGTGTCCTGCCCCGACCAGTAAAAACTTTTTCTTAGTTTTCAGGTTTAAGTGATATTTTTGTCCTTGACATACATGTAGTATGGCTGTTGATTTAAAACATTTGTTAGAGAAATAATTTCATGTGAATAATCTGGTTTGTAAGCATACATGTACATGATGTAGATTATTTCATTACATTATTTTCATACTTGCAATACAAGTGCTGAACACATGAAGAAATCTGTTGAGAATCAGATAAGTATTCTTTTGTTATGTCATATTTCATTAGAGTCAGACTCAGTCTTAATGTGAGAAAAAGAAAATATCTAGCTGCATTACATGATTAACATCATTTACCACAAATCACATGTGGAAGTATGCCACCAAATGCAAAAACATTTTTTTGTAAATGTGAATAATGAATGAAACCATATTTTCTTGTATTTTGTGAATCTAAACCAATTTGAAAATTGTAAGAGTTTTTAGTAGAAAATCTTCGTTTCTTTCATGGTCTGGATATTTAAGAATGCAAGGCATTTCACCATCACTCATTTCTATCATTATGGTGACAGGTCCCATAAAGTTTTCACAGATAACTATCAAATACATATGCATATAACAATATAAGAGGGGGGATTTGAAAGCTTATACATATAAAATTTTGGTTAATGTTATAAGCTTTCATCCAGCATTTAGTATTTCTCTTTTAGAATTATTTAATATTTTGTTTTGCTGGGGGTCTTTGATAGCTTGGCATAGCAGATTGATTTTGCTAGAAGGCCAATATAATGACCTACATGTATACAATGCTCTATTTAGTTACAACATTTTTGGTAGATACATATATAGTTGTCTCATCGACAATCATACCACATTTCTTTATTTCATTATGTATAACACCACACTGCCATTGCATAATATTTAAATATTTAATTTATAATTGTTAAGTAATTATTAGAAATATTTGTACATTGTATTAGGCCAAAGTTTAGATATATCATATCACTGAATATACATATAAAAGTTCATGCGGTAATTCCATAGATAAAAGTGTTACTTATAAATAAGGATCTGTATAGTTGTAGCAGGTAATGTGTAGAACTGCTAAATACTGGTAGGGGTTATATTAATTCTATTTGTGAAATATTTGGGTAAAAGAAATTAAAGTACCCTGAATAAAAAAAGGACTGTTCTGAGTGTCTATAAGTGCATGTACATGTATAGCAAAATTTAATCTTGAAATTAGCCATGATAGATATTGTAATAAATCTGTGTCAAATGAAAACATTGTAGCTGTATAATTTTCAAATACAGTTTAAGTTTGTTGAATGATTTTCATGATGATCATATGTCTGTACTTTCTTTATCTGTCTGTAGTTGTAAACTTGTAATTGTACAATTAATTTGAATTCCTGCTGGAAAAAAATATTCCTACATTACAGACCTTCTCAGCTCTTGGAACTAATCATCTCTTTAATATATGCAATTGAATGCATGCTTCATTTCTAGGACCAGAATTGCAATATTTATAGGATAAAGAAATATATGATTCTAATCTTAGGTTGAAAGGATCACTGAAGTTTGA